CTAAAATTGACAACCTTGTGAGGCTGCTAAGAATAAATGAGTTAAATTTGTATAGTGCTTAAAATAAGACCTGGGGAGTGCAAAGAAAGCGCTTCAGGTTTATTCAATAAATAGTTGATGGAACTACTGCAGGCAGAATTTGTCTCCGCTCCGATCAGCCTTGGCCTATACTGGGGAAAGGGCTGCCCAGTGGGAGAGTGTTTCCGAGGAAGAGTATGGTGTGCAAGGGGCGTGAAGGCCAACCCCTGAGGAAGGGACGTTTGTGGAGAGCTGGAATTGTTCTTGGTAGAGCCGTGGGGCACTTTTTCCATTGGGCATTGACTTTATTTTGCCTGTTTCTGAGGAGCAGGCTCCTGGTGTAGGCGAGCTGGGGTTGCCAGATATTCAAAATAAAAAGGAGAGGAGGTCTTGGGGTTTCGAACAGGCCTGTTCTGAGCTGAGCAGAGGAAGCCTGAGGTCATGGAATGCAGGGCTGTAGACACAACATTTCTGGGACTCTCTCTACCAGGGGAACTGGCTGTATCTCCCTGGCAAAGACCTAACCTGACCCAGGGGGAAACAGGAACCAACAAAGAAAGGTGTCATACCCCACACTGTCCACTTGGGGGAGCATTGTAGCCAAAGAAGGGACCTTTACATATTGATGCCTTAGGATGTCTACTTTGGAGAAGATAGATGTGAGGTTGGATTTGTGAAGAACCACACCCATCAGAACCCCCCTCCACAGGTAACATTCATCAAAGTCCTCAAACCTATGGGCTGTGCCAAGGCCTATCCTGGTAAAGGAAATCCTCTATGGGAGGAACTGATTTTAAAATTTCAGAGCCAGAACGTGGCCATGGGAGGACCCCTTTCCCCAGAAGCTGGAAATGTGAGGGTCAAGAGGGGGGAGCCTGGACCAAAGCTGCACAGCCAGGCTCGGCTGTGTCAGACCAGTCAGCACCCAGGCCTCCTGCGTTCCTGGCCGTGGCTCTGTCACTCGGAACTGTGTCTGAGTCGCTCAGATAGGTATCCTTGCCCTATAGACATCCACTGTAGGTATGAACCTATATATTTTAGGAACAGATGAAAAGGTCTGAGAAAACTGATGCTGAGAGGAGAAAGAGGTGGGTACAGCTCCCTCTAGTGGTGGACTCCGCTGGGGTCTCCAGTGTGGAGGCCTCCCCCTCCTCCCTGGGACTGGCCTTCTCAGCAACTTGCTTTCTGTCTCAGCCCCTCTCCTCCCTTCTGCTCCCGTTCCCTCCTCAAAGATGCTTCTTGGACCTTCCATCCTAAAGGGCCACCCTCTACCCACTGTCACAGGATCTCCCTGGACCTTCTCCATTGTACTTCAGCGTGTGTGTACACACACACACACACACACACACACACACTCCTATAAAATGTCAACCCCCGAATTCAGGGTTACATGTAACTACCCCCAGCACCCAGAAGAATGTCTGGTACACAGAAGATGCTCAGCACAAATTTATGTAATTAACACTTTAATGAAAGACCATGACTTTAAACCCTCATGTACCTATAAAATGGATTATGGTGAAGATCAAATTAAATAATATATAAAATGACCTGGCTGCCTGTTGAGAATAAATAAATGCAAGGGGTGCCCACGCACAGAGGGATGGACTAAAAATTGTTAGCAAAAGCAAGGGGCCTGTCTCCTGTCCTATGACAGTAACTGACATGTATTTGCATGAATTTGTTTATTTTGTTATATTCCTTCTTGTTCCAAAACAAAACAAAACAAAACAAACAAAAAAATACCTGCTAACGGTACAGCCAGATAGACACAGCTCAGTCCAGTGCAACCACAGAGCTAGGAGAGTGTGAGGTGTGGCCTTGGGCTGCGGCTGGTTTGCTGCATGTAGTGTTGACTCAGAAATGTCAGAAGCACTTGCTGTTTACAAAATAAATGCAAGTGGGTGAGCAATAAGGCAAAGGAAAACAAAATTAGGAAGCTAAACGGCAGATGGAGAAAAGGCTGGTACATAAAAAGCAGACCGTGGAGAAGCATTATTAGAAAGAGTGGGGCACAAATTTAGGTCCCCATGTCCACGTGGACAGACAGCGGGAAACCTGATCGTCACAGCACATGTCAGTGGTGGTGCCAGCATCAGGGCTGGGCTGCGAGGCCCAAACAGAGTTTGGGATCTGAGAGCAGGGACTTCCTATACTGGGGCGTCTTTCTGTTAATACTCAGATGGGTCATAAGCCAGACTTGAGAGCCAAACTGACATTTTAAAAATTATCCCTTTGCGCCTGGCCAGTGTAACTCAGTGGATTGAGCATTGACCCAAGAGGTCAATGGTTTTATTCCTGGTGGGGGCAGGTGCGCAGGTTGTGGGCTTGATCCCCGATGGGAGGTGTGCAGGAGATAGCCGATCAAAGTTCCTCTCACACACATCAATGTTTCTCTCTCTCTCTCTCCCTCTCTCTTTCTCTCTCTAAAATCAATTAAAAAAATTATCTTGTTGCCCTGGTACTTTTCATCTCTTCCAAGTCAGCAGGAAATTCAAAGTCTCTGACTTTAAATAGCTCCCGGTGTTGTTGTTGTTTTTTTCAGTAACATATAAAATATATATATATATAAGAAAAGTAGAGCAAATTCTAAATAAAGATAAGCCAAATGAGAATGAGACAACTGGGAACACTTTGGGAAGCTGACCTCAAAAAAAGACAAGACATAAGGTTGTGTCAGTCGGAAATCTTTCCCCTATAATTTCTAAAGAAAGCAGAGGCCGCTGATGCTTGGCAGTGACCTGGGAGCCAACCACGCCTTGGAGTGGCTGTCCTTGGCCCCATCTTTAACAGCACAGACTATTCACCAAGGGGAGAAGCTGGATGCGGTGAGGGGTTTAATGGTGAGATCTCCAAGGTCCCGGCTTCCTGGACATGAAAAATGATGCCTCCTTGTCAGCCAGACTCTCAGTAGGAGGCCCTCTGGCCACACGGAGGCTGTGAACTTCCCTTTTCCTTCCTTCCCCTGCAAACCCCGTGAGCCACAAGGTCCTCGCTGTGTCCAAAGCCGGTCTCTTACTTAAGGAAGACAAAAACTGGGCTGAAGTCCTAAGAGCCAGAGATCCCTCTAAAGTGAAGACATGCCCTGCGGGTGTGACTCAGTGGTTGAGTGTCGACCTATGAACCAGGAGGTCACGGTTCAATTCCCGGTCAGGGCACATGCCTGGATCACAGCTTCATCCCCAGTGTGGGGTGTGCAGGAGGCAGCCGATCAATGATTCTCTCTCCTCATTGATGTTTCTCTCTCTCTCTCTCCCTCTCCCTTCCTCTCTAAAATAAATATATATATTTTAAATAAATAAAGTGGGAAGACGTGGCCAGACTATTGTGTGACCAAAAGACATGGTCAAGGGCCACTGAGAAGGTGGGTGTCTGCAGGGGAGTTGTCCTCCGTCAGGTTCGAGCCACCAGGAGCACCGGGCTCCCCGGTGGAGCCGAGTCCTCTGGGTGGCAGCTAAAAACAATCACAGACGAGTTGCTAATTTCTCTGACTCTCAGCTCCCCCAAGAAATAAGGCCTGATCATATCTGCCCTGATCCCTTGATGCAATCAAGGAGAAAATGGAATGGAAAGTGTTCACAAGCCATTACTACTAGGAAACGGATGGCACTGATATAATAACCTATGACCCAGCATCTCCAGAGAGAATGAAATAGGTATAGGAGCTACCATGTTTGGGCACCGGCTCAGTATCATGCTTTTCCATCTATATGTTCCAGACGTAACAATATAGTTACAAGTATTTGCATTTGAGATGGGGGGCAGCTGAGACCCAGGGAGGGAGAGTGACCCCCAAAGCTCATTCAGCTGTTAAAAGGCAGAGTGGGGATTTGAACTCACACCTGTCACTCTGTGTCTAATAAAGAGGCAAAGGGGTAAAGTGACACATTAGGGGTTCACGGGAAAAAAATAGGACAAGGATGATAGCTGAAAACCTCAGGTTTCTGAGGAAGGCTGCTGAACTTGTATTTAATTAAAAAATTAAACGGGACGGTTGTCGTGGAGTCGGCAGAGTTCGGCAGCGGAGAAGGTGGTAGGAGGGAACAGTGGTCCCTTGGCAGGCCGGCGATCCCAGAGCCCTCCAATGAGGTGTCCCTGTACCCTTGGCCCAGGGGCTGGTGAGCCATGTGGGCATGGCGAGTGGCCAGCCAGGGCTGGGTTTCTCAGAAGAGAGGACAGGAGACAGGACAGCAGAAGGTGAAGCCCACTTCAGGGCTCCCTCTCGTTCCCACATCAGCCGTGAGCAGACAGGGTCGGGCGCGCTGTCCCCAGGGAGGGACAGGCTGGTTACCTCCCAGGATAACAGGAGGATTCGGTGATGGCTGAGGCGCTGTGCACGTCCTAACGTCTCCACTTGCTCCCTGGTGCCACCGTCCCCTCTCATTTGCCTCTCATCTTCTCTCCCTCTTTCCAAGTTCACATCTCGCCTTTGACCTTCCTGGTCTCAATTCCTCGGCTTTCCCTCCTGCCTCCTCCCTCCCCACCTTCTGACAGATCATATCAGCGAATCCCTCAACAGTGGCACGGAGAACTTTTTTATTCGTCGCATGATTTATTTTTAGCTGGAGACAAGTGCATCCTAAAAATGGAGTTCCTGATGGGTCGGGGCTGGGCAGAGCTATGCGCGGTATCTGGGCTTGGCTGCCCAGCCTGGCTCAGTCCACACGTGTGTGTGCGTGTGCGTGTGTGTGTGTGTGTGTGTGTGTGTGTGTGTGTGTGTGTGAAAGAAAGAGAGAGAGAGAGAGAGAGAGAGAGAGAGAGAGAGAGAGAGAGAGAGAGAGAGCGCCTCAGCTCCCTCCTTTCTGAGCTCACAACTGCAGCAGCCGGACCCAAGAAGGAGAAGACTCAGTTCCAGGGCCCAGCAAGAGCAGGAGGGACAGGCCAGCCTCTCTGCCCCCCGCCTCTCTCAACAAGCCCCTAAGAGTTTTGCCTCTTTTGTCCTGCACTCAGCATTTCTGGGCAGGACACCCCTCTTCTCCCCGATGAAGCAGACTCACCTGTTTGTGGTGGGGGTCTGCCTGCTGTCCTCCTGCCGGGCAGAGGAGGGGCTGAACTTCCCCACGTACGACGGCAAGGACCGTGTGGTGAGTCTCACGGAGAAGAACCTCAAGCAGGTCCTGAAGAGGTACGACCTGCTGTGCCTCTACTACCACGAGCCCGTGTCTTCGGACAAGGTCGCGCAGAAGCAGTTCCAGCTGAAAGAGATCGTGCTGGAGGTGAGCGGGGGCATGCTGATGCTGCCCGGGGAGCTGGGGCTGTCCGGCAGAGGCAGAGGGGCAGGGTCCCTGTCCTGAAATCTCCCTGCATCGCAGTCTCAGGTGAATGGGAGATATTCTTGTTGCAAAGTTGGGATGAGTGGACAAGCATGGGCCCTGTTGCCAAAAATGGGGACCATGGGATGTGTCTGTCCCATGGTGGTCCTCTCAATTTTTCAAGGGCATTAGCCCAAGTCACTGTTTTTCAAAAAAAATCAAAACTATTGTTAAAAGGCCTGGCTGACATGGGATTTCAGGATTGGTGGTGGTTTAACTTGGTGTGCTGATGACCCACTGGCTGTGCTGATGGCCCACTGGCTGTGCTGATGGCCTACTGAGTGTGCTATGGCCCAGTGGGTGTGCTAAAGGCCTACTGGGTGTGCTGATGGCCCACTGGGGCGAGGTGATAGCCTACTGATAGTGCTGATGGCCCATTCGGGGTGCTGATAGCATTGGGTATGTTGATTGCCCACTTGGGGTGCTGATAGCCCATTTGAGGTGCTGATGGCTCACTCAGGGTGCTGATGGCCTACTGGGTGTACTCATGGCCCACTCTTTGCACCCTCCCTGAGATCCCGGAGACAGGGCAGGCCTTGACCTTGCATCTCTTGGTGGGTCAGTGGGGAAAGCCATGAAGTTCCTTCCTTGTGGTTGGGTATGGTCAACATCATACCGTGTGTGTGTGTGTGTGTGTGTGTGTGTGTGTGTGTGTGTGTGTATGAAGACTCAGTAATGGGATCTTTTTTTCCCTCAGAAAGTTCTTGCTGTGAGTTCAGGGCCGACACTGAAGTCAGTTCTTATTTTATCTGCATTACATGGCCCGTTAGTAAACCGGCGCTGGCAGGCCATTCTTGAATGCAGGGAGAGTGCCCTAGAACTCTCCTGGGCAGCCTAAGGTCACTCACACCCAGGAGCACCCTGAGTGCCCAGAATCCCAGGAGTCACCCAGGTCCCTTGTCAGTCCCCATGCCCAGCCCTGCCCAGCCCAGGTGCAAACCTGTGAAAAGGATTATTGGAGAATTACAGCCATTTATTAACCATCAGAAAGCTCCTCTTCATCAAATATGTTAAATAGAATTACCATATAAACGCTTGTGGATTTGAATTCTAAAAAAAAAAAAAAAAAAAGACTAATAAAATCCAAGAATACCACCCAAGCACATCTACATATCTTTGCTGTCTTAAGAAGCACTTCAGAATCCTAAGTGTCTCCTGGTGGCCACACAAGCACCTATTTCGGAGGCTTCATGTACGGTGTGTGGTCAGCAGGAGAGCTCGGGCTGACAGACAACTAAGTGTTTTGAAAATACCATCACTGCCGTTAGACTTTCCTCGGGCTCCCTCTGCGGGCTGAAGGCGGACATTGGGTGTCCTCTGTGGGTGGCAAATGAAGAGAAACAGGGACAGTTCTTAGGTCTTGGTAGTGTGTACATGAGAAGCTCGCAGGTGGGTAAAACCAGGGCTGGTTAGCCCGCAAAATCCTCACTCACATCATCGTCTCCATCCCAAACTGCCCTACTCAATTACTGAGGGGTATTTTTATGAAAAGTTTAAGCAAAGGCATAATGAATCTATTACATGTTCCTCATTGTTCCGTTAGCCTAGAATTTGAAAAATTAAAAACAGCCAGTGCAAGCAGTGACCCCCGTTTCTGAGTGCATGTCAAATGAAAACACACACACACACACACACACACACACACACACACATACACACACTCCTCCAAGAGTACATCTCCCCAGAAGACCCATACAAAATCCCAAGAAGGGACTTGCCTCTGGCCTCATATCCCTGCAGACACCTCTGACCCAAGAGCACCCGACAGAGACAGACAAGGGGGAGATTCGCACAGCAAGTCGGAGCCCCAGAGGCACCCCAAACTGGAGTGGATGTCATTAGAGGGAGGATAATAGAGATTAAGGAGTCAGGAGATCTGGATTTATATTACATCACATTTATAAGATAGTAATTATACATGCTTATGAGATCATTAGATGAAAATTAACATTTGTTGAATGCCTACTGTAAGCACTTTGTACATGTGAGCTGCTTTGGTCCTTACAATATTTCTATGATGTAGGTGCCATACTATTCCCATTTCACATATGGGGAAACTGAGGCATGGAGAGGCCAAGTTGCCCAAGGTCACTTAACTAGTGTAGGTGAAGGCAGTCTTGTCCCTACACGGCACTGCTGCTGGAGTCATGAGACAGGTGTGAGGCTCAGCCCGGAGGCCGGGTCTGATGGTGCCAGCTGCTCACCAGCAGGGCTGAGCAGCACACAACCTAGAGGCACTCTTGATGCAAATGCCCAAACCTCAGAAGAGGCTGGGCATCCCTCCAGAAGGCAGGGGCGGGGCGGGGGGGGGGGGGGGAAGGGGCTGTGTTGAGATACCTGTCAGGTGTAGGCTGTTTCTCAGAACTCAGGACCAAAAACGCCTCCAGAAAATTTGTGGGTGGGAACAGAGGGTAGATGTGAGCCTCTAAGTATTCTTCATGGTCAAAACAACTATTTTGTTAACTTTTAAAGATATGTATATATATATATATATATATATATATATATATATATATATATATATATATATAAAATTGATTTCAGAGAGGAAGTGACGGGGTGAGAGAGGTAGAAACATCAATGATGAGAAAGATTCATTCATCAGCGGCCTCCTGCCTGCCCCCTGGTGGAAAATGAATGGTGACCTCCTGGTTCATAGGTCAATGGTCAACCAGGAGGTCACTGTTCAATTTCGACAGGACTCAGCTAGGGTAGGAGGTCCCTGAGCACCCTTTTTCTCCTCTCCACCTCTCTCTGTTTGTCCCATGGTGCTTGGCTGTCCCACTGCATATTGGAAAGAGAGAATCATTGATTGGCTGCCTCCTGCATGCCCCCTACTGGGGATTGAGCCCTAACCCAGGGCATGTGCCCTGACTGGGAATCAAACCGTGACCTCCCGGTCCATAGGTCGATGCTCAACCTCTGAGCCATGCCAGCTGGGCTCCTTTATTTCTTTTTAAATTAGGTTAATTCTTTAAAAAGAATTGAACATAGTAAAAAAAAAAATTAGATTAAGTCTGTCAGATTCAAGGACCTGTTGGTCCTCCTTGCTTAATCCCACTGACATATGGTTAAAATTGCATTTTTAACCATGGGGCTCTCAGTCCAATATAGGCACAGGCTGGGCAGGAACCTCGGGCACAGCAAGGCTGGCCCTGCCCTCACACTCGTTTAGCTCTGGCAAGTGTCCCAGAGGTTTTATTTCTAACCCCCAGAGAGGGAGGCAATGAAGTGGCCGAAGTCAAGTGAATCTGCAGATGGGACGACGTGGGAACACGGGGCAGAGAATAGCAGCGCACGCAGGGTTGGGCATTTCCTCCAGCTGTTTGTGCCCAAAGACCACCCTCTCCACACACGCACCTCTGTGAGGCCAGGCTGGGCTTTGGGGCGAGTCCTCACATGGAGCTGGCGCTCTCTCGGGTGTGCGCATGCTCAGTCTCACATTGCCCTCTGAGAGCCCAAGTGCCCGGACCATGTGACTTGAGTTTGCTGTGCAGGCCTCTGATAAAGCCGGTGCCTGGGTGAGATGGCAAAGAGACAGGGTGAGATGGCAAAGTGCCATTGCCAGAGCATGGGTTATATTGATCACAGGTAAACTCCTCCTTCTGCATAAGGATTACCAGGGAGACGGATTTTACAACATGGCCTACACACTGTTGCTACAGGGGGCTTTAGATCAGGGATGGGGAACCTTTTTTTTTTTTTTTTTTTTTTTGGCCAAGGGCCAGCTGGATTATTTATAACATCATTTGTGGGCCATACAAAATTACCAACTTAAAAAAATTAGTCTACTATATTTGGTCAAACATTTAATTAGCTCACCCCTAATGCCCTGGCACAGCCAGACCAAATGATTTCACAGGCCTTATACGGCCTGCAGATTGGACATTCCCCGCCCCTGTTTTAAGTCCCAAAAGCCCTCAATGCTCAAGCCCAAATTTAGGAAGCCTGGTCATTGTATCCCTGAGGGAGACCTCCTCTTAAAGTTATACATTGTTAAGTTTACTTTTCAATTACAGTTTACATTCAACATTATTTGTATTAGTTTCAGGTGTGTGGCATAATGGTTAGATAGTCAAATACTTTACCAAGTGTTCCCCGATCTTCCCAGTGCCCGCCTGGCACCATCCACGGTTACTACAATGTTACTGACTAGCTTCCCTGTGCTGTGCGTCGCATCCCAAGACTACTCTGTGCCCACCGATCTGCACTTCTCTATCCCTCACCTTTCCCACCCAGTCCCCAATACCCCGCCCCTCTGGCCACCATCACCAAATTATAAATCTTCCATGAGATACCCTGGAAGTCACCACTCTGAAAGTATTGTAAGGACCATTACAGTGTCAAGCAGTAAAATGAAAAGAACAGAATCTGTGTGAGTCACCAGACCTGTCGCCAGCAGCAGCCCAGTGAGCGCCACGGATCGGTGTGAAGGGTGTCTGTACAGTAGTACACAGCTCAGCCTCTGCACCTAAACAACTTGGTCCGCCAAGAGAGCCCTGGAGGACAGAGCCACGGAGGCTCCCTGTCTACAAACTGGATGTAGTTTTACCCAGAGCAGTTTCTGTTTGAACAGCCACTAGGAGAGAGGCCTGTCCCAGCAGCACCCACCGCCTGCTCCAGAGCCCAACCAGGCAGGCCGGCCTCTCCTCACCATCCGCCTGTGTAGGCAAGGGGTGGGCCAACAGGTACCCCTACACACACACACACACACACACACACACACACACACACACACACACGCTCACCTGTCTTCATCTCAGAGAAACACACAGCCACCCTGGCTCAGGACACCCAGCGAATGTGACTGCTCAGAGCCTCACAGCTGATGAGTAGCAGACGTGGGCCCAGGTCCCCATGAGGGTGCAGGGAACTGATATAATGGATGAGAGCATGGGCTTTGGAACCAGAATGTTGGGGTTGGGATCCCAGCTATGTCACTTCAATGCTGTGTGGTCCTGGGCAGGTTGGTTAGCCTCTCTGTGCCTCCATTTCCTCATCTGCAAACGTCTACTTCATGTGGATTTGGGAAGGTTCAATAAGGTAGTTTATATTAGGTGTGGGAGCAGGAGCCAGCGGGTAGTAAACACCCAATATCCTTGTTGTTATGGTGTTTCTCAACATGCGGCAGTGGAAAGAACACACAGCATTGGCCCTCGGGTCTTCACTTTGGCACTGGCCGAGGTGATAGCCCCAAATACAACAATGGACAGCCTCTCTCGCCCCCAAGACTTTTTTGGAGGCCACTGATCCAGCCTCAGAGGCCCCAGTGTTCACCTGAATCTCAGGCTGTGGCTGAGCCATCCCCTCCCCTGCCTCCTGTGGGCACATCACGTGCGAGCCCCCAGCTATACATAGATCAGGCCTCAGTTGAAGGCGGTGGAAAGTGACAGGAGATTACCGGGAGGTAAGCATCAGCTCTCGGGTTTCAGGGCAGGACACACAGTTGTTGAATCTCTTGACTTGTCGCCAGATGGTATCAGGGACAGTGGGTGAGAACAGCCACTGGGCTCTTAGCTTCCAGGGATCATGCAGGATGGCAGCCAGGGTATTTTTAATGAGTGGCTTTAGGGACATTCACTTTGAGCAGAGATCTGAGGCATTTTCCCTCAGGCTCCTCCATCCTCAGGTTTTATTCCAGCCTCTCGAGCCTGGCGCCTGGCCTGTTGCAGGTGCTGTCTGTCCTCTGAGGCCCGTGGCCAGTCACACAGCCCAGGGAGCGTGTCGCCTGGTGCCTCGGTATTAACTTCCCCCTCCTTCCATGGGCAAACTTCTTGAACAAGTGACCCACATCTGCTCTAGCATGTCCTTGCCACCCACTCAACTCCTCTGGCTTGTCCCCACTCCTCTCCAAAAGGTCATCGGTGGCTTACCTGTCCTGAAAGGAAAGACTTCACGGGGGGCCCACATGCCCACCCCGGGGCTCCCTATAGCATTCGATCCGACCACCTACTCCTCAAGGCTCTCTCTTCCCGTGACTTTGGAGTCATGACCCAATATTCCTTGTCCTCTCCTGCTCCTCCTAGAGTCCACTCCACCTCCTTCTGCTCTTGCCTCCTAAAGGTGGTCAGTCCCTGAAGATGCCCCCCACCTCTCACTTCTGGAGCTCCACTCAGGGCCTCTCCCTGAGCTCCAGGTTGGCACCTCCAGCTCTTGGCTGGACTTCCATTGCCATGAACTCATTGCTTCTGAATCCAGGCGGAACTCCTTGCCACTGGCTCTGGCATGCCCTCCTGATGTCACTGCTTTGTCCTCCACTCTGTTCCCTGGCTGGAGATACTGGAATCATCTTGCCTCCTCCTCTCCTATGGTTTCCCTCCCTTCTCTCTCCAAAGCCATGGAAGAGTTACCAGGTCCGCCTGACTCTTCATTTGTAACCTCACCTCACAAGTTACACCTTCTCCGTCCACTGCCACTGCCTCTGAGACGAGTCACCTCCTACTATGACATCAGCCTCCCAATGGGTTGCCTTTCCTCTCCACTCTCCTTTCTGTCTGTCGGGTCTATAACCTCAGATCACCCTCCTCAAACCCAAACTAGCCGCACTACTCTTCTATTCAAACATCTCCCAAGTCAGAACGGCTGGTCCTAATATTCAGAGTCCCTCACACTCTTTCTCATGTGCCTGGAACACACAGCTCCGTTCAGTGTCCCCAAAGAAGTTAGCCTGTAATGATTGGCATCAAACTAGATTTCATCTTCAAGTGAATAAGGGACCAAGAATAATAAATCCCAGTGGTTAAGAACACAGGGCTTGGAATCAGAGACCTGGATTTCTAACTTGGTCACAAGGGCTGGGATGGCCATAAAATATGGACAATAACAATGTTTATCGTGATGCTGTTGCAAAGATGCAATGAGATAAAGCATGTAACATGCTGAACACAGTTCTTGGCATGCAGTAAGTGCTTAATCGGTATTAGATTTTCTTCTTAATACCATGACAGCTGGATAGGGTTCTGGACCTTGGACTGATTCAAAAATACCAAAGCATGATGTAGTGAAATGAAAAGAGAACAGTAACTGCTACTGAGGACCTACTATGACCAAAGTCTGTGCTAAACAAAAGTGGGTGAGATATTTCAGTATCAAGGATCTTGTGATTTCATTAGAGAGGAAGCTAATGAAAAATTAGGTAGGTGCTAAAAGATAGAAAATAAGGGCTATGGAGAGACAGAATGACTACTTTATTATTGACATATATATTGTTTAATAGAACTTTTTTCTATAAAATTAATTTTGTACTCGAAAGAATCAGCAATGACTGCCCAATTGGTTGGAGCATCATCATGTATAATACACCAAAAAGTTATGGGTTCAATTCCCAGTCAGGGCACATACCTAGGTTGAGGGTTCAACCCCCAACCAGGCTGTGTACAGGAAGCAAATGATCAATGTTTCTTTCTCACATTGATGTTTCTCTCCCTTCCTCTCACTAAAAGTCAATAAAAATATATTATCAGGTGAAAGTTAAAAAAAAACAAACACAAAAAACAAAAAGAATCAGTAATGGCCAAAGTAAACCCTAATGCTTCTGGAAAGAATGAGTGTGTGCCAAAGTCCAGGAGCTACATGTACCAACCAGTAAGAGACAACCCTGTTCTATAGGGTGGACAACAGGGGAGACCATCTGAGATGTAACCAATCAAACAAACAAAATCAGCAGAGAAAAGACTGTAAGTCAGCAGCATTCCATTTTTCTGGAATTTAGGAGACAGTGACTCTCTCATTTCTCCTCCTATATGTAACTCCAACACTGTCCTTGGTGATGATGGCTTTTTTCTCTTTGGCTCAGATGTCCTTGAATTTGTGAAGTATTTGAGCTAGTCCATCTTTTCACACACAGCCTAATGTCTCTAAGGACTACATGAGACACAAAAAAGGCACAAAATGGGTCCTTCTCTCAGGGAGGAAGATGCACAGTACAGAAGAGACGTAAACAACTCTCACGACTGTGAAATTAAGTGTCGGCGCCATGTCTCTGCGATGAGCTACCGGAATTCACAGAAAGGAGGCTGGGGTGAAATATGACCCTGGAGCTGAGCTTTGCAGCCGAGAGCGGGCAAGGCTGGCAGCAATGTGAGTGAGCACTGGGGCTGTAGCCGAGTGCAGAAAGAAACATCTGAGCTGGAGATCAAGGCCAGAGCAAAGGCGGAGGTGCCGTCGAGCCAAGTGGGAGACGCAGACACTGTCTGGCCTGCAAGGGTTCCTGGTCCTGGGGGGAGGGATTGGGCCAGGAGTCAGCCCAGAAGGACTTTCAGCACAGCCATTCTCCCACCCCACCACCACCACCCTCAGTCTCACTGCTCTCTCTTGGGTTGCAGCCAGTCAGCCCTGGGTCACCCTTGGCTTAGGCTCCTGAGAGGTGCTCGCTGGGGCTGACGGAAGTGATGACAGAACTCAAGTGGTCAGGCTTCGGGCCTAATCACAGTGGGAGGCAAGAGTGACGGGGGCACTATGGAGATAGTGCATAAGTGTGCCAAGGAGGAGGTGAGCAGGTCTCGGCTAGAGTGGTCTTGGCTGCTTCTGTCTGTGCATCCATGCCTAGGATGGTGAGTGGCTATGCTTAAACAGGAAGCCAGGGGAGCAGAACTGAGTTTCTCTGCGATAGCACCTTCCCCTTCCACTCATATGTCTTCCAAAGTCACATATAATCAATAAGGGAATTAGGAGACCATGACTGATATGACTAGGAGAGGCACACATTTGCATCCACCTAAAAACCAACAAAACATGGTGGTGTATGCCTAGGAGACATCAGAGTTAAATTTTGTGTCGAATTTTCAGAGTTAATTTCTTATATTCTCAGTAATATTTGTATTTTCCTTCTATGCCTAAAGTAGGGGGCCCAGAGGACCAAGTGAGAGCCAAGTGTGGAAAACTTTATGCCATACCACTTTTAGATGGGTTCCCATTTTTCTGTGGGGATACAGTCAGAATCCTTTCATGGGTGTCCCAGTTGGTCACAGAAATTATGGGAGTATTTATCCTGTAACACAGTCTACATCTTTCTGCCTTGGGCTCACATATTCTCCTTGTCTTTCCCTTTAGCTTGTGGCCCAAGTCTTGGAACATAAAGATATAGGCTTTGTGATGGTTGATGCCAAGAAAGAAGCCAAACTTGCCAAGAAACTAGGTAAGTGTGATTTTTGTTAGCTCTATCAGGAAGAAGCAAAGTGTCTTGCAAAAAAAAGTATAGTTTCATTTATTCTTGCATGATAACTAAGCTTTATATTTATGTTCATTGTTATGATCTTACATGCCCTAGTCTTGGTTGTAGAAGAGTTTCAGAAAAGTAAATACCAGCTTAACTTGAATGATTTTACATTCATCATCTAATGAAGAAGGCTTCTTCCTGGAGAAATTGATGCTAAATATTTAAGCCTTTATTTTTAGAGTTAAAAGGCCAGCTTCTCTATCTCACTACCATGGTGGTCTCTTCTTCCATCATCCATTATTTCCTTGCCTCTTGGCTAAAACAGCCAACACATACAAACTTAGTGGCAGTGACTCTGATGTCCTAGTGGTTTCTAAATTACCGGTAAAGGCTAAACCCCAGCTGGGCATTATCACCAAGGATGAGAGGAAGGATTTAGATGAGGTATGTGTGACTACCGAGTGCAGGCTGTAATCTCTGGATCAATGTCCTGCATAAGTGCAAGCAAACTTTAAAATCCTGACAGTGCTAATCCTAAGGAGAAAGAACACAAACATCCCACACATGAACTGCCCATTTTGCTTTTTTCCGCATGATTAGTGAACAGTGGCCATAGCGGGAGGCTATAAAACAGGACCTTTGAAGAAAGGTTAACTGGATGTGGAATAGTAAGCGTGTCGGGGGAGGGGAGAATTAATGGTGATTCTATCAATATTTCTAGGTAGCCTGGCCAGTTTTTCCCAGTGGTTAGAGCATCAGCCTGCAGACTGAAGGGGCATCTAACTTAGTTGCTCAACCCTGTTGTTTTAAAGAGAAGTTGGATTTCCAGTCAATTTAGTTCAAGGAAAACACTAGTGATCCAGTGATTTAGAAATTTAGGGAAGATAAGCTGGGAAAGCATTCATATGGCTCAGTGAACATCCTCCTAGTCAGGGTGTGATGGGGCTTGAAAAGTCTCAATGGCCTTTCCCCAAGCTCAGCCTGGAGGAATTACTGGAACAGGTTCCTTCTTGACTACCTCATCCTCGTTTCCAGGACAGAGATGTTTGTGAACCTTCTTCATCTCCATTTTCACTTCCATTTGCCCGAGTTGGGTCTCCATGGGGCTGTGCCTGAACCAGTACTACAGTCTCCTAATTGATTTCACTCAGAGCAAAATCCAACAGCAGGACACTGGCTGCTATTCCTGCGATACCCTGTGATCAGCCCTTGCCAGGTTCAAGGATGTGTGACGCATTGTTTCTTTAAGTTTGGAAATGGTGCTCCATGCTGTGCCCAAGAATCTTCAGACGTGTCCTGGGCCACAGTAGGAGGAGGCCAGCCTCCCTTTCCTTAGAGGTTTGCAGAAGACTTCTTTGGAGAAAGTGTTGTCCAGCAACAGAGAGTTTGAAAACAATGAACTAAGGAATTAAGGATGCCTGCAGCTGGACTAAACGCCAGCCTCAGCTCATTTCCCTTCCTGAGGAGAAATGCAGTCTTGCAGCAAGTGTTTGTTCAGATCACGGCATTGTGCCAAGAATGATGGAGGGTGGGAAGAGGAGGCAGACCCTGTCTGGCAGCATTCTCAGCTAACTGGGAAGAGAGAATGTGCAGAACTCAGCTCCTCTAGAAAAGCAAGCTGTTTGTTCTGGCCATAAACATTTATGGGGTGCCCAGTGTGTCCAGGCTCTGAGTGACACCCTGAGATACACATAGAGAGCTTACTGCTACCTTGAGTACATGTACATAGAGCCCAGAGAAGACCAGTCATGGCAGGAGACCCCAGAGTGGCCTTACTGGGGAAAATGGGTCCTAATCTGAGACCTTTAAGTAAGCTGACCAAGATGGCAGAGGGTGGGAGATCACCCCAGACTTGAAGAATAGGAGAACATATGTGTCGAGAATCATGCTCTGTGACCTTTCCTATAGATACCCTTTTATATCAGCTTGTGGGCAAGAAGCAAAGGGAGCTACAGGAGTAAGAGAGTAGTTCTCAAAGAAGCACTGGTCTACCCAGGGGAGAATGTGAAGGGTGGGTTGGCATGATGTTGTAGAAGGACCTGAATGGCAGGCTAAGGAGTCAGGTAGACAGAGGGCATTGTGACTTTATGATAAGGAGAATGGGGTCACAGGAGTTTTGGAAAATTGAAGCAGTGATGGTGTGGAGAATAGATTTTTCTTTGTAAGGTAAAATCCAGGTAGGATCGTTGGTTCTTGACTATTTTATTTAAATTTCCAAAAGCAATGCAGGGTAGAGAAAAGACGCAGACCCGGCCCTGACAGTATTCTCAATGAACATGGAAGAGAGAATGTGCAGAACTCAGCTCCTCTAGAAAAGCAAGCTGTTTGTTCTGGCCACAAATATTTATGGGGTGCCCAGTGTGTCCAGGCTCTGAGTGACACCCTGAGATACACATAGAGAGCTTACTGCTACCTTGAGTACATGTACATAGAGCCCAGAGAAGACCAGTCATGGCAGGAGACCCCAGAGTGGCCTTACTGGGGAAAATGGGTCCTAATCTGAGACCTTTAAGTAAGCTGACCAAGATGGCAGAGGGTGGGAGATCACCCCAGACTTGAAGAATAGGAGAACATATGTGTCGAGAATCATGCTCTGTGACCTTTCCTATAGATACCCTTTTATATCAGCTTGTGGGCAAGAAGCAAAGGGAGCTACAGGAGTAAGAGAGTAGTTCTCAAAGAAGCACTGGTCTACCCAGGGGAGAATGTGAAGGGTGGGTTGGCATGATGTTGTAGAAGGACCTGAATGGCAGGCTAAGGAGTCAGGTAGACAGAGGGCATTGTGACTTTATGATAAGGAGAATGGGGTCACAGGAGTTTTGGAAAATTGAAGCAGTGATGGTGTGGAGAATAGATTTTTCTTTGTAAGGTAAAATCCAGGTAGGATCGTTGGTTCTTGACTATTTTATTTAAATTTCCAAGAGCAATGCAGGGTAGAGAAAAGACGCAGACCCGGCCCTGACAGTATTCTCAATGAACATGGAAGAGAGAATGTGCAGAATTCAGCTCCTCTAGAAAAGCAAGCTGTTTGTGGGGTGCCCAGAAATACGATCTAAATTTCCACTAGGGAGCAGCTTAGAGGTGTGGTTTCAAGGGAGCCATCCTAGGAGTAAGGCGGGCTCCACTTAATCCTGACCCAGTCAACAGGATGGCTTTTCCTGCATCAGGATGATCTTGTCCTGGGAACTCTTTCTTCCTTCCAGGTTTTCATGAAGAAGGAAGCCTGTACATCCTTAAGGGCGATCGCACAATTGAGTTTGATGGCGAGTTTGCAGCTGATGTCCTGGTGGAGTTTCTCTTGGACGTGAGCATTTATGCACAGTGCCCTGCATGAAGTTGTTTGGGTTCCATATAGGGGGAAGTAAAACCTTAAAATAAAAACACAGAAGTTGGGTAACTGGACTTGATCTAAGACAGATTTCCCAGGCTTCACAAAAAGTCAAGCGTACATCTCAGTGCTATTTATGTATTCTAGGAAGTGGGCCCTTAGGTCACCTGAAAAACTGTTTCCTTGTGATCACAGGGTCACAGGTCGGAACTGTGTAGTAGTAACATGTTATGTCTCATAGCAGTCATATATGAACATCCCCTGGAATCCCCCTGGCTTGTGAACAGGAGTTGGGAATTGTGAGGAAGTGGTGGCTAGTCACCTGAAGAGGAGAGGAGGGAGAGGAGGAATGATCAGTAGGGAGAGGAGGAATGATCAGCTGAGTTACCCTCAGAGCAAAATAAAAAGGGGAAAGACTAATGAGCCCCAATACCATCCCTCTTCTCAGTCAGGGAGGTCCACTACCGTCAGATCCATATGCAAAGGCAAATCCATATGCTCAAACACTACACAAATATTTTATCCATGGACAAACTTACACTCTCAATAGCAACTGTGAAGTCCAGTTCAAGCTGCTTTTGAACACAGATTCCTGTACAGAAAAGGCACATCCATACTGATGATACTTATCTACCAGCTCGTCCACAGTGGTCTCTCACCTTTCTCGGCAGCCTCAAAAGCACAGAGACAGAATCAAAATGAGTTGAAGATCACCTCCTATGAAAAAGTGCCCATAGGTTCTCGTTGGCCCTGTCATTGACCATAAAAAAGTTGAGGGCAGCAACTGAACAGCTTGGCCAACATGGCAATGCCTCACCCTACCAGCAAAGCCAAGACTTTTAGAAGCTCGAAACAGACGCCAGACTCTGGCTACCGTAAACAACAGGCTACGTGGTCACCCACACAAACAGAAATCCAGAGTGAGGGCAGATTTTAGACTTGATCAAAACTCGCTCCATTTTTCTCTGTAAGTCATGGATAATGCTGTTTTCTCTGTGTTGGCTTTGTCCCTAAGCTTACTGTTCCCAAGTTGATTCTAAGATTAGCCAACAGCAGGAGGGGATACATCACATTTCCTCATTAATATTCAAGAAGAGGGAGGGGGAAATTTGGCTTCTCAGTGTTGCCTTTAAGAGAAAGCAGAACTTTCCTAAAGCTTTCAGAAAATCTTCCCTGGAGAGTCATTGACCAGATCTGGGTCTCATACCATTCTGAACCAATAAATGACAAGAGACATAGAACTGCCCACATCAACCAGCTGCCCAATCAACCCATTGAGTTAAGGTCAAGTCCTCAAAAGGCGCTGTTGCTCTACTCATTGGGGGAGGGTGGGATGGATGCTGAAGCACCAGTCGAAGTCCACAACTTCCCTCCAAAGCCCTCTCTGCACATGTGCCCGATGCCTGGGGAAGGAAATGATTTTATGTATGTGTGCGTGGCATTTCAGCTAATTGAAGATCCAGTGGAGGTCATCGGCAGCAAACTGGAAGTCCAAGCCTTTGAACGCATTGAGGATCACATCAAACTCATTGGTTTTTTCAAGAGCGAAGACTCAGAATGTAAGTTGTTTGTCAACTCCAGCCTGTTGATTTAAAGGCTACATTTCCAGCAAGGCATGTCATGTTATCCATAAAGACGAGGAGCATGTCCTATGCTGGGTAGGAGAAAGAGTCTTCCTTGCACCCTGTGCAAAGGGACACCTGTATTAATTATACAAAACAGGCAGGAGAGCTGAAAGAAGGCTAAGGCTGGGTCATGTTCTATGGCCTTGAAGTGGGTGAATGTTTTACAGAAGAGAGAAAGCCCTTTCTCCACCTTTCCGCTGGCTCACCCACCAGTTGGATTCTCCCTTAAAAGGGGGAAAATAGTGGGCTGTCTTCCTGACACTGGCAGCTCCCAGGGTCACCAGTTGGAGAGCTTCTCAGCCTCTTGTACAGCGTTAGAGGAAAATTGGGGTAGGGCTGGGCCTAGCAGCTGCAGCACAATGTGGGAAATTGTTGACCACCAAGGCAGCCTGCAGTAGCACACCACACCCTTGGGTGTATTCCCTTTGAAAGTTTTGCGGCTGGGGTTTGGGTGGTTACAGGAACATATCACAGCATCAGCACAACTCTACAGGGGTTGAAGTCAGGAGGAATCAGGAAGGGGAGGAACCAGCAAGACTAACAACCTGGGTACCTTTTCTTAATGTGCTTTGGCAGCAGGAGCCCAGAGTGAATCCTTTTTCTGGTGCCTCAGCCTTGGAGAGAGGGAGTGGGTTTAGCTATGAGAGGGGACCTGGTAGAATTAGTACAGGAAGGGAAGTGCAAATAACAGATGCTTCTGGCTATTTTTGGAAAACTCCAAAATATTTTGAAATTATTTGTGAAGCTGTGTCTCTACCCCATCTGCCAACTGGCATCCTTAGTCATCTCAACCACCCACTAATTTTCTCTCCCCCCTGGCCTAGCTGAACTGTCTCCTAATTTGCTACGTAAACGTCTGTATTCCTTCTCCTTAAGAGTGTGTTGGGGGAAGGTGGCTAAGTGAGGAGTTTTGTCCTGGTTCTTTGGGTGAATTATTTCAGTGTTTACATTTCTATATAGATACTTACTACTCAGGGGAGATCAGAGTAGAAGACTAGACCAGGTTTCCTGAAGACAACTACTGTTTGCAAGAGGCTACAGGTTCAACCCTAACTTGAAGCACCAACCTGGGATTTGCCTTGCCCCACTCTTTTCCATCTTAGGGATATAGACTGGCTCCCCAAGAGAAGGGAGTTCTCTTGACAAAAGTCTAGGCCATGCTTTCCATCAGAGAAGGAGTTCAGGAAGGTAGAGAGGGGTTCATCAGTGTCAAGGAAGACAGGGAAGAGAGAAACAGAGAATTCTTAAGGAGCCCACTGCTCTTGTAAATAGATATAAGAGATGTAGCTATGGCTTTAACCATTTCTCTTTAACCATTTCCCTCTCCCACTTTCCTCTACTCATTCTCCAAATCTTCCACCCATCTTCTTCCTCTCCACTCAATTCTCCACCCCAACTATCAGCCTATATGACATATTTTGTGACAACCCAATCACTTGTATGAGGATGAGTTTTTGTGAATGTGGATCAATATGTAGGGGTTTGTTGTACACTTTCAATCCCTCTCTCATCTGTGATTATTGTGCGTACCTCTATTCTAGCAACTATGACATCACACTGTGATTCTTCAAGGGTTCATGACCAGCCCTGGGCTGTGAGCCTTTGATCGTTATCTATATCTTCCTCATTTTGGGGTCCCCTGAGCCAGCATTATTCTTGAAATGTTTTTGATTGAATGTTAGAAAATTCTGCATGCTCTTAGAATTCTAGCAAAAGCTTGTGCCTCTGATGATGAAGGGGTATGAATTCCAGGAAATGGAAAAGTTAATCTTGTTGGATCACTGGCTCTCAAGACTATGGAATTTTTGTAGAAACACCACCAGCACCACCACTATTACCATTATCATCACCCTCACTCTAAGGCTTGAACCAGAATGCCTTTACTAGTAAGTGTCTGGGTGTGGTAAGACACAACATGGCCAAACCCATGTGGCCTCATGCCTCTCTCCCCTCAGTTTGTACTCAAGTTTGGGACCAGAGTCAAGCATGGTCTTGATTAATTTTTAAGTAATCCTTTCAAGGGATCAGAATAAAAAAAGGAAAACTTAAAAAGAGGGAAAGAAATACTAGGATTTATCAACAACAACAAAAAAAATGCTTCTGCTAAGAGTTTAAAATACTTCTGTGCTGTCATTTTAATTGAGGTGCATTTCTCCGCACACTGTGTTCCTTCACACACAGGCTGCAATTCTCTAGGGGGGCACATGAATAAATAGCAGTGACTTTGAGCAAAAGAAATTTTCCTTTGGGTTAGGGGTTTGACAATCTCTTTTCTTTCCCTTGTTCTCTCTGAGTTTTCTCCTTTCCATCTACCAGTTTTGTAAAACATACAACAGTGTGGCAAAGAGTTCTTTTGGGTGATTGAATGCCAATCAGTTCCAACTCCTTAGGGAAACTGTGGGTTTAAATGGTACTACATAATTATCTATCTAAATAATATCTACTCAATAATTATTCAATTAGGACTAATTGGCTTCCCACTCTCTCCATTATTTAAACAAAGAAATGTCTGCAGTGTGCGTTTTGCAAATGTCTCTCCCGCCTGCTTTTTCCTCTTAGACTACAAGGCTTTTGAAGAGGCAGCTGAGCACTTCCAGCCTTACATCAAGTTTTTCGCGACCTTTGACAAAGGGGTAAGGACCTATGCCACCTCAATTTGAACGCTTTTGTAGGCACGAAGTATTAACAGTTGAACTTTCCACCCCCTTTTCTCTTCTTTTGAAACGTTAAGCACCCTCCACTCATGAGCACTTTCTCCAGAATTAGAAATGTAGCAGCACATCGCTACTGCATGAGATATGAATGCAAAGATGTTTCACTCAGGAGATGTCAGGGTATTTCTGAAAACATCCAATGAAAAGTGATGAACCAACCTCTCATATCACTGTCAGCACTAAGAATGGAGAGAGTGAGTCCTGAGTGTGCGGGGCACTAATCATTGCTTCCTTTTTCTAGAGCATCCTCTCCCTCCCTGGGGATGCTTGCCCTTCCACTTCTGGGTGGGGAGAGGCACTGACCTCAGGAGCCTCAGTGCTTCCGAAAGTTACCCACATCTTCAGGAGATGCCGCGGATGAACTTGCCTGTAATTCAAATGCTTGTTGTTTTATGGGTGTGGAAAGTGCCTCTATAAGACAAAGAGCAGCAGAGATAGAAGGACCTCAAATCAATGGGTACTTTATTTGGGGTCTACTCTGGTTGGAGTGCTCTATCCTGGCTCCGGGTACCACTAAAATGGTTACTAATCCAGTGTCCTGTGCATGTTGGGCTCAATTGGATATTCTGCACTAGTACAATCTCTAGTCCTTTACACAACTTTCAGATGAAAAAACACTTAGAAAGATTAAGTAATATCCAAGGTCTCCAGGGAATTAATGTTAGTACTAAGATCCCAATTTAGGATAAACTGTGCTCAAAGTCATGCCCTTTCCTCTGTCACACACCATTAACTAGAAGACTCTGTTCCTACCCTCGAGATTCAAGGCGCACACTTGCACATTCATACCCACATAACACACACAACTCACACATGTATAGCACACACAACCCACACTCATAACATACTTAAAACATACCAAACACACATGTAACACACATACACCGACAACTTATATACTACATAACACACACTCACACACATGTATAACACCCCCAATGCACACAGACGAAGAACATTCAAAGTATTCTGTGAAAAACAAGAAAATCTGTAGATGCTGAAGCAGGGGAAAAGAATGACAAAAAAGAGATTGCACTCAATTCATACATATATTGACCCACTTCTATGACTCTGGCCCCAGTTTTCAAGCCTATAATCCAGAAGAGAGGTTCATAATCTAAATTATATCATCTAAGCTTGAAGAAAATTTACCCCAATTGGTTGGATTACAGTGGAGAGAGATATTGAGCAAGGATATAAAAAAGAATAATAATTATCATTCATTAAGTGCTTTTTATGTGCCAGGCTTTGTGCTAAGAGCTTATATAGGTTTTCTCATTTCATCTTCTCAACACCCGGTAAGAGAGGGATTAGTTTTCTCAGTCTACAGAGAATGAAACCAAGACACTGAGAGATTAAGAGATTTGTTCGTGTCACATAATGAGTAGTGGAGCTCGATGTAATCTCAGGTCAGCCTAACTTCAGTGCCAGTGCTCAGTACTACCGTGTTTCCCCGAAAATAAGACATCCTCCGAAAATAAGACCTACTTACAAGTTTCCTTCTGAGTGAAATATAAGGCATCCCCAAAAAATAAGGCCCCCCTAGGCTAAACATGAGAGATTTGGTCCACTGATTCTGAAATAAATGGAGTCACAAGAAATTCACCAGGAAATTCAGGAATTGGATTGTTATGATGATGTTCCAAAAGATGATGACATGATTGTCATTGAATAAATGAGTAAATTCTTGATACTGTAGGATTCAGTTTGTCTGGTTTGTGTTGACAACTACCGTACTACTGTACCGTATACAGGTAATAAATTTCCTTTATTTTCATTTAACAATAAATGTGTACCATATTCTTCTTCATGGAAAAATAAGACATCCCCTGAAAATAAGATCTAGTGAATCTTTGGGAGCAAAAATTAATATAAGACACTGTCTTATTTTCGGGGAAACAGGGTACTCTATTCCAGAGAAAGGCATGGCACATATACCACGCATCTGATAATATGTAAGCCTTCAGTGAAGACTGGTTTTTGTTGTTGTTGTTGTTATTGTTAAATATATTTTTATTGATTTCAGAGATGAAGGAAGAGGAAGAGAGAGATAGAAACATCAATGATGAGAGAGAACCATTCTCCTCCATGCCCCACACTGGGAATCGAACCCACAACCTGGGCATGTGCCCTGACTGGGAATCCAACCATGACTTCCTGGTTCATAGGTTGATGTTCAATCATTGAGCCACGCTAGCCGGGCAGGACTGTTGTTAATAAAGAAGGGTAGAAGTGGGGAGAGGATATTAGTGGAGAATGAGAGGTACAGAGAAGCTTAAACCGAGTCCATCACTGGCATCTGGTTAGGTTTGGTAAGCAGTGACTATGACTCCTAAGTAAGAACCCATCCAAGGGAAGAGAGTCAAGCAGACAAGCCTGGCCAAGCAACAGAGCCTCAGTCCTTGGAAGGGTGATTCAAGGTAGAGTTCAGGGTGGGGTTGGTCTGCAAATGTGCCTCCCAATCCAACCACATGGCTTCATGTCATGAAGAAGGTGAGGTCAGCCCATAATTAAAAACTCAGAAGGCTCTTCACTAAAAGCTCTAGAAGACACTGAGTCATAAGTGCCACTACTCACGTAGCCTAGCGGGATTTCATTAACGTTCAGAAAGAGAAAGCTAAGTGCTCCCTACCTCCATGTGGAACCAGAGGGAAGAGCTGTCACTGAGAGGAGTCAATGCTATTTGGGACTTAAGAACTTGCACCCCGCAATTAGGGGCTTGGGTGGCAGTGCCCACTGGTGATGGTGGGGTCCAGTAGGCATGGTTGAACCCATCGTGTCACTCAGGATAGCACACAATTTAAACTTATGAACTGTTTTTTGTTGGAATTTTCCTTTTAATATTTTTGGATCATGGTTGACTGCAGGTAACTGAAACTGCGAATAAGGGGGGACTGCTGTTCATGAGTTGGAGAAATGTAAAGAGGGGGAGATGTCAGGGCTGCTGATATAGATTTGGGAGTTAGTAGTTTCCAAACACTGCCCATATTGTCCCTCGAGACACTTTTAAAACTATGGGTTTCTGGGTGCCAGCCCTAGAAATTTGAATTTTTATTTTTAAGGATTTTGACAACACCCAGGAATATGCATTTTTTAAAAGCTCCCAGTACATTTTACCTGGCACATTGTCTTGGGACCAGAAATCTACAGATCCTGATCTTAAATCAACCCCACAAGGGGGCAAGAGAGGGTCAGAGGGCTAAGGATGGCGTCCACTCAACTGTACCTTATAGCCTAAAATATGTAATTCTAATCACTCCCCCCCTTCTTCCTCTCCCCCGTGACCTCCCATTGACCTGTTCCTTTCTTGGAGTGAACAGTGAGAAGCAGAATCATTTTTTGAACCATATGGAGACCAAAAGAAGCAGTGGTTATCTAAACAAAGTTGATGGAGAAGATAGACATTGAAAAGGCTTAAATTCATTAAACTGGTTTCATTTGCAACAACGAATGGCTTGCTAACATGTAGAAAAACATCTGTACCAAAATCCATACACTTGCCAATGTAAAAAAATGACCATTCTGCTTTGTAGTTTTCTTACCTTTGACAAAATCTATTCCAACTAGTTTTTTAAAAGGCATAAGAGAACTCATTATATGGGCCTCCTAAGCATTCAGGAGTAAAATCCATTCTTGTATTGCTGTTCCTGCCCATGAACCAGGCCTGGTCCCAGAACAGTGCTTCAGAGACAGTCAGCCCCATTAAATATTTACTGAATCAATAAATGAATCAATGCCTCAACCAGTCAAATCTCCGTCAGTCCTTACCACCCAAAATACAAATAAAATAATTTTAAAAAGGGATTCTCTGAGATACAAGGCGAACGCACCCCCCCCACCATCACCCCGTGCGTGCTGGTGGGCATGTAGTGAACAGGCGAAAATTATGCTCAGTGATCCCCAGAATTAAACTCAAGCACATCACAATCCAACCTCACATTCATGGTCTCCACATTGCAGACCTAGACACTGGCAACCAAGAACCAGAGACCCTATCCCCCAACACACACACACACACACACACACACACACACACGCACGCACGCACGCACACGCACACGCACACACGTGGGTGCACCAGAGCTTCCGATGAGCCCCTTCTCACCTTTGGGGGCCTGCGATGGGGTGAATTGATGAGAGCATGTCCAAGAGCAACAGGAAACATCTCACCAAACACATGCGGCACCAGGGGAATAACTGGGGCCAGACAGCTCTCTTCACAGGGTCAAGGAGAAGGTGATTTTCTAGAGAGGGTCAGTGTACTGGCAAATGGGGTTTGAATTCTGGCTCTATCCCCTCAGGTAGATAATCCTGACAAACTGCATACTCAGACTGCACTTTGGGCTCATCATTTGTAAAATAAGTATAATACCAGCTTTTACCTGAAACAATCACAGGGAGGATTCATAAAGGAATCAACCTTACACAAGTTGCAACAATGCCTGGCACATGGCAAGCGCTCTATGTGGTTACTATTATTACTTTTTTCTTCCTGGTTCTTAAGATAAGTAGTAAATGAACCCAGAGAACCACAACTGAGTGCCATTTTCAAGCCCAGCTCTGCAAAGAACTGTGTAAATGCAGACACTGGGTGCAGAGCTGCTACTTGCCCTGCCCCCTTGCTCCTTGCCCATCATCCACCCACAGCACCCTCTGCCCCATGGAAAAGGAAACAAATAAGAAAAAAAAAGGAAAAAAACCCACACCTCCATGTCTCCTAAAACATAGCGAACATGACCGCAAAATCTCCTGTGACTGACTATGGCTCTTCACGTGTCCTGTTTCCTCTCTCTCTGAGTCAAATGCCAGTTTCTTTGTTAAGTACTATAACTAATGTCCTTTGGTCTCTTGTGACCTGGAATTAATAGTGGTCAAGGACAAAAACCATAGGGAGACCCATGTTTCCTCAGAATGGACCTCCTTGTGTAACAGCTTATGTGACAGCAGTTCCCCTCCTTCTGCTTGGTCCTGGCGGCCCTGGGCCACTGGACTGTGGGTTATCGCGGCAGGGCGGCAGCTCTCGGCAATTCCTCTTTAGTTTCAAGGGAACCACTGTTCATCTCTGTGCCCTCTTGGCCCACAGCTCTGACCTGGAAAAGAATGGCATTTGGTTTTCTCCAAGCGGGGCACATTCCAGACCTCTCAAGTCATTTCACAGGAAGAGGCCTGAGTTCAGCAGGTCTGCAGACGAACACAGCAGCCATTCTGCCCTGACAAGGCGGTGGGGCCACTTCATCAGAGAGGAGATGGCTCTGAGCGCCTTGCTGGGATGGGGGAGAACGACTCCAGCTAGCTTGTCAGGTACTAGGGTGCTATCCAGTTTTAGCACCGAGAGTCTCCATCCAGGCCTCCCCTCCACTCTGGACACACCAGGGAGGGTTCACTTTCTGACTGGTAACCAAGGGGCAGTTCCCAGAGTCTGAGAAACCATCACAAAAGCCCTGAACCGAGAGACAACTGTAGGGCCATGCTTTAGTCTGAGTAACAGTAGGTTTATGAGCTGATCGAGAATTAATGGATGGGCCTCTGGTTTTGAGTAGCTGCTTTAAATGGTTCCCATTAATTGCCTGTTCTATCCAAATTGATTCGATTTAATCCATACCTGCAAGGACACTGAGCATGTTGACCTTTATGTCCTCCTCAGGCCTGGCAAATACAGTAGAGTGATGGTGATTAGAGAATTAGATTTCCCACTTTTCATTCCATCTGCTTCCTGCCTCTGCTTGGACCTCATTGGCCAGAGTGGTTTTCTCCTCCCTGTCTGTCCTTCTTGGATTGGTCCAGCCAGGCCTTAGGTTTCTATCACTACAATATCTATGTTAAAATCGTACGTACCTCCTCAAGTCTTTGCCAGAGAACACGCACGCCTTATAGATGGACTACCACTGCCACTCTAGACTAGCATTCAAGGAAGCTATTGTCATATTTCTAATTATGACAGGTTGCAAAGAAATTGTCCTTGAAGATGAATGAGGTTGACTTCTACGAGCCATTTATGGACGAGCCCATTGCCATTCCTGACAAACCTTACACAGAAGAAGAGCTTGTGGAGTTTATAAAGGAGCACCAGAGGTACCCCAGGTGGCACGCAGGGGGTGGGGGGCCTGGGGCCTGGGAAATGGAGAGGAGCCTCTCAGTCCTGACTATTAGTGGCATGGATGTTGCTACAGTTTCTGAATATGGGTTTGTCTACACTTGCAAACAGGTTTAAACCATCTCCTCTCAGTCAGCAAATCCTCTCAAAGTAGAGTCAGATATAAATAAAATTCTTTAATAACAGCAATAGTGATTTAGGGACAGCCTCCTATATGCCAAGTACTCTGATAGGTGCTATGAGAGCTATTTTATCTAATACAGGGGGTGGGCAGAGTGGGAAAAGGTAGGTTTACAGTTGTGATCATGCAAAAGTTTACTCTTGTATTACTATTTATTAGTTATTGTATTGTTTATTTGTATTACAGCTGTAAGCCTACATTTGCCAAACCCTATATTCAACATAATGGGGTAATTATTATTATTATCTCAATTTACAGATGAAGGAATTGGGCTCCGAGTAGTTAAATAACTTGGCCAAGATGAACATTCTGTACGCAGAATTGCTGGGGGAGGAATATTTGACACCACTTAGAGTAGCTCAAGCGTGGACTGGCGACCCTTTCCTGTAAAAGGCTGGGGGGTAAATAGTTCAGCTCTGCAGCCAGATGGTTCTGTTGCAACACTCAGCTCTGCTGTTTGTGTGGGAAAGCAGCCGCAGCCAATATCTAAACAATGGGGTGTGGCTGTGTCCCAAAGCGTTTATTTATAAAATAGGAGGCACCGCTGGATTTGGCCCTCTAGCTGCAGTTTGCTAAGCCCAGCTCCCAAGGGAAGGACAGTACTGACCATGGAATATGGTGATGGGCTCACCATCACCCCTCACCTCCTCCCACCCCCTCCCAAACTGGACATGTGCTCATGCATGCTCATTGGACCTGAAGCACTAACTACAATTCCATCAACCCGCCAGTCCTGATCCCTTCAGGGAGGCAGTCCTTGGAGAAGCAAATAGCTACATTCTAATACAATTAGTCAACATTCAGAAAGAACTGAAACCATGAGCAAAATATAGATCCCACCTGCTCTTCCAAACATCCTGAAGGGGCTTTGGATGGATGACCCTGAAGATAAAACAAAATCAAGACTTCCTTTTTTCCCTCCCAGGTGGCCTCATTCTGGGCCTTCTCTGGGCTCTCAGGCTGGCGCCAGTCCAGGAGGAGGGAGATGACTTCTTGCCCTGGGAATGCCTACCCTGTGCCCCCTGGCATTGTTTGTAACAGACTTATAATCCCTGGGCCAAATGGGTCTGTGAAAGGCTGAGAGCGTTAGGCCCAGATCTCTGGGTGACAGGGTAGGCAGGGTATGAGTTAGGGTGGTGTCCTGAGAATACCTACTCAAGGAAGCTCATCTTTTTTATTTCCAGACCCACCCTACGCCGCCTGCGCCCAGAAGATATGTTTGAAACATGGGTAAGATAGTGGCAAACTCCTTCTGCCTTGTAGAGACAGGCATATTCCCAAAGAGGAATACCCCTTTGAGTTCCAAAACTCAAACTAAGTTTTACTTGGCTGGAGCGGATATCTAGATGGTAGAGTATTTGAAATGTGGACACCACTAAGCTCAGAGAACCCGGTTTTCTATGTTCTAATTTATACCTCTCTGGTGTTGCCACTGGGCAACGTCACTCTGTCTCTGAGTCCACTTTCCCTGGGACCACTGGCCTCTGTGCACTGGCCAGAGGCCTGGAGGACACCAAGGAGCAGCTATGGAGTCAGAGACCTGGGTTCAAGTCTAGAATTGGACATCTCATAGCTTTGTATCCTACGTCAAGTCATGTGATCTTTCTGAACTTTAGTTCCTACATCTGAACTTGGGGCTTTTTATAAGAATGAACAGTGTGAAGAGCCCAGGTCATGGGAGGTGCTTGATAAAGGAAGGGCAGCTGTCTTTGTAACTATCAACTTAGGGCACTGGAAAGCACTGGGTCAGAGTACCCCCAGGTCTAAGTCACAGACAATATGTCAGGCAGGTCAAATAGCATCAGAAAGAGGGTCATGGAGATACAACCTCCCACCCACTTCAGGTTTATACAAAATTCACAAACGATAACAACCGAAGTCTGAAGAGCATTTTCCAAAGCATTTCAGGTATCCTTTCACTCAGATCTTTGAGTGGTTCTAGGAAGTGCTGAAGAAAAAATATTATTTTAGCCCCGATTTATGTGGGAAAACTGAACATAAATTACTCACGAATATATAACTAATAAGGACTAGATCTTGGGACTTAAATTTAAATAATCTAGAGCCAAATCTCACCTTCTCTCCATTATACCTCCCTAGAATGGGCCATGGTCCCATAAGGTACCATTTTGGCAGTGGGGGTGTAGTTGGGAGGGGAAAGGGACTAATGTGGGAACACATATGATTTATTTATGTACTTAATCTTTAACTCAGAGTTGAAAGTGACATGTGAAGAGAGCCATGGAGTAACTTGACACTCTCTGTTTTAACAGCATGTCACTAATTTGGACATGTGAACACAGAACAAACATTTCATAAGACGCTGAAGGACAATAACCCAGTGTAAAGGCATGGACTGCCTGACAATAACACAGCACACAGAAACATATTTCCCCAACATTCCAAACTTTAAAAAATTTAACCTTTTAAATGTTTTGTTATTAGATTTAAATACTGTAACAGTGCTTTAAAAATAATAGCACTTTAAAAATATTTTTACTTTTTATTTAACTTCAGCCTTATAAAAAGTAGTTCAAGGGTTAGGGTTAGGATTAGGGTTAGGGTTAGGGATGGGAGTCAGCATTCCTTCTAGAAGAATCCTCCCTGTGTTGTAATAACTAAGTAATTCCAAGAGGGAGTCAGAAATCTTGGGATGAGCCCAAGACACTCTTTTGACCAGGGAGTCTGCTACTTTTAACTGCATTTTCCTTCTTTGCATCTCTTTATTCAACATGAGAACAAACATTCAACAGAGGCTGGGAAGAAACAGCCAAACCTGAACAGTGGTAATCTACCTGGTTGGTGGGAACTGATGTTACTTTCTTCTTGGAATCTCTAACATTTGCTAATTTTCTTCAAGCAGTATGAAAGATTTTTATCATCATACACTTTTTAAAAATCCAACAGGCATTAGTAAGAACTCATTACCTTGTGCTAAGCACAGAGACTATAAATGAACATTGCTGTCCAGGCCTTAGGAGTTCAGGCCTGAGTCGATGAAACAGTCTCGAATCACGTGACCCCAGACCTGGGTGCTCCCTGCTGTGACAGAGGTCATACAAAGTCTGGGGAGTCCAAAGTAAGTTATTCACCTAAGTAATTCCTAAGCTCTATTTTTGGGGCGATCTGGTGTTGGGTCACAATATATAAAGGCCCCTTCTCAGACTTTTTCAACTTAAGAGCCACTGACCTGAGTTTGCAGCATCTTCTGTAGAGAGGACAGCAGATTCCTAAGCTCATTCTGTGCTGTTGGTGATGTCAAGGAGCAGAAACTTGTTCCTCCATCCTCTTAGGTTCCGTACTGGAGGCCTGCAAATTAAAGTGACAAAGGATAGATTAGTGTGAGGGGAAAAAAAAACAAAACAGATTTAATTACCTATTTCTGCATGGAAGTTCACAAAAAAAATGTGACGCAAGGAGGGGATAGGGGACAGAGGGCCCTTCTGGGAGAACAAAGACTGTTGGGAAAGATAAATGAATGCTTGGAAGAACAAATGGAAGATAGAATTATCTGTTTGAGAAGATCAGAGTTGTACTTGGGAAAGGATTTATGACAATTGAGTCCTTTTAAAAGACTCTGCATTTAGGCAAATAAGGGATCTCAGGAATTCACAAGCTTTCAACTCCAAATAATTTGTATGCCATGTGGCTTTCCCTGGCCTACGTTAGCGAGGGAGAAAGAGCATGGGCTTCGGAACCAGGCAGAGCTGGCCTGAACCCCAGGTACATCATGTACAGGCTCTGTGGCTTTAGGGAGGTCAGTTCAATTCCTTAAGCATTAAACAGGAATAAGACTTGCATCTAAGATTTAGAAATAATGCACTTATAAAGCCCTGACACAAATGGCAGATATTCATGTCATCATTTTAATCATCCTTGATATTTCAAGGTGTAATCCTTTCCCTCAGAAACTTGCCATTCAAGTAAAAAGATCATTTCCAAGACATTATGGTCTGAAGACCAAAGGGGTGATCTGGGCGGCCAAGGTTGTGGGGTACAGAGAAAGCCCCTGGCTGGCCGTCCCTACAGCTCTTCCTCGCCTGTGCATGTGGGACACACACTGAGGAACACCGACCTTCTGGCTTGGGAGCTTATTACTGAAAACACCTGGCACAGAGCACACGCCTGCTTCTTTGCAAAGAGAGAGGCTCTTTCCCTGGGTTAGAGTCTCCATCTGGGACCACCTGAGGTCTGGGAGATGGCGGCCATGTCATGAGCAATCTCTTAGCAAACAGATATGGATTCTTAATTCTGAATCCAATTTCCAAACGTGTTCCAGAAGGGCAGGCAGAAATGGAGCCCGCTTCTCTGAGTTAACACAGCCGCCTCCCCACGGATGGCAGACACAAGGACAGGGAAGCCTACTGAGAACCGATCAGGGCATCCTGCCTGGTGATAATAGCAAACATGAAACCTCAGACTCCCCTTCCGGCTGCTGTCAGATTTGTGTAATAAACCTGTGCGCACGCACACACACATACACACACACACACAAACCTATCCAATTCAATTCCCCGGAGAACCTGACCAAGGCAGTGCCTGACTCTCTTGTTTCTAATAATATTTTCCATTTAATCTTGCTCAGAATTTTTGGAGGTTTTGTCCATTTCCAACTCAAAAGAAAAAAAAATTAGCATTTAGATAGGATTGCACCAGCATTACAATCCATTGAAATGGAAACAGGGGTGGGGAGGGCTGCGAAGCCTGGAGTATTGTTTCCTGAGGACGGTTCTGATAGGACACTCGGGTGCCCCACGACGCCCTCTCCCCGGAACAGTGATAGTCAGTGTCCACTCAGATCTGTCCCCGGGCATCTTCCCCTCCGAGCCTCATGGGGATCACATTTCCTATACAGGAGGCGCCTCCAAGCTCTTGCTGGTTCTTCTGCAGGAATGATCGATGCAAAGGAGACACGAGGCCTGTGGTCCTTTCTGTTCAGGACATAGAAACATGGAATGCCACCTGCTTGTCCCCCAGATTCGAAATATTCTCACTTTTCATCATCACGCCCTTGTCCAGCCCATCTCCAGCCCCTCCTGTGACCTCCTACACTTAGACCGAATTAGATGCCTGGATGCCTGGTTCCAAAACCAAAAGGAGCCTAAGGAAGCGCCCTTGGAGTGGTAGGCAGCAAAGTGCCCCCTACTGACCACGCAGGTTCTTCAGTAAGCAGGGTCTCAGAGAAGCAGGACACACGTGTGAACAGAATAGATCCACATCCTAATTTGCCACACGATTCCTGTCTGCAGCCCGTTTGGGGACAGCTGAAGGACCCACCAGCAGCATCCAGAAGCTTCCATATGGAGTCTATTATTGCTTTACTCACTGGTGGTGACTCCTTGAAACTTAGACTGACATTTACTGAGCTCCGTTCAGAGGGCTGATGAGCCAGACTCACATTCTTCCTCCTCCTGCCTCTTCCTGCTGCTCTCCTGGACCCACCAGACCACGGGAGTGAGGCCCATTCCGTGCTAGTCTGTGTAGTTGGTGCTTTCCTGTCTCAAAATCCCGTTTATTAAATGTCACACCTTCCTCCCAGTTGCTCATCGGTATTCCCTGTCTTAAGATGCATGCTGCTCTGTTCCCCCGAGACTCTGTCCCCCTGAGCCTCTGTCCCCTGTGCCTCTGCGTCCACCCCTCTCAGCTCCCTCTCCCGCCTCCATTTCAATTCCCTCCTGACTGTCCCTGACTCCCCGCATCTCTCACCTGGGAGTGTAACCTTTGATTCCTTCCTCCCACAGGAAGATGACTTGAATGGGATCCACATAGTGGCCTTTGCAGAGAGGAGTGACCCAGGTAGGACCCCTCCCCCTCTTCTGCCCGCTCTCTGACCCCGTAAGCAAGATCTGGCTTCTCACCTTGGTCAGCCCTCACCTTTCCTCTTCCCCTTATTCCCCGCCTACAATGCAGCCGAAAGACACGGGGCACCCCCTGCTGGTTGCCTGCTAGTAAAACCCATTTCAATCGTGCACACGGCTCAGAAGTGTGGGATCAGAGCCTCATTTTGCTTAGCTGCCCAAACTGGGGCTGAGCTCAGACAAGCATAAACACAGCCTCATTATACAGGCGTGTATGTGCACGCGCACATGTGTGCGTCTGTGTAAACTTCTGTTCACATTAAAAGCTGATGTACCTAGCCTATATAAATAACAATAAATATACCCTCTGGCCTGTCAAATATGGCCTGTGCTTAGAAAACTTAACGGAAAATATTTTGGAGCATAGATTATCTGAACTGGGCCAAATCTATGCTACAAATAATGAGAACTGGGCCAAAGAAGCAGCCGATTTCCAAAGTGTAAAAGGACCTATAAGTGAATGAGTAACTTTATTTTGGACCTTGGACAGCTTTGCCCTGTCTTCGCTCTTTGTAGTGTCAGTGAGAGTGAAGTGCAGGAAAACTGATGAGCAGGTGGTAAAAGGCTAGTCCCAGACAATGCCTGTGAGACAGAGGGTCCCGGGAGGGAGAGTGTACGTGCAGATTCTGAAGTGTATTTTGAGAGGTGTGGAATCATGTAATATGTGGCCTGTGGCCCATTGCAAAGGGGGGGGGGTGAGAGGGGGTTCTGGCATCTTTCACTTATTGTAACATTTCAAGGTTCCTCCTTCATGTGGTGTGTATCCATATTTTGTTCCTTTTCATGGCTAAATAATATTCCATTGCATCACAACCAAATCTATGCTCCAAATTAGCCGATAGCATCCTCTCCCCGCCCCCCTAGCTTTATTAGAATGTTTGAATGTCCACCATGTCCTAGTTTCCCCATCACTGACTTGCAGAGTTGGAAAAACTCTTCAAAAATATTAGCCTTTGTAAAAAAAAAAAAAAAAAAAAAAAAAAAAGCCAGTGTGGTTCAAGCTTCTTTCCACATTTTCTGGCCACCCCTCTGCCCCCCTCCCCCGAGGAGACACCAGCCAAGGAGGCCAATGCCCGAAGCGGACAAGCTTCAACGAAACAGAATCGGATCCCTGGTGCTGTGGACAGAGATGCCCTCTGTGGGCAGCAGCCTGCTGGCCAGACTCCAGGGCCCTCCGCCCACCCCCACACCCACCCCCTTCCAGGCTGTGGGGAGGCCCGTCTGGCTCTCTAACAATGGAACAAAGAGCCTCGGAGAAGCTGCAGGAACCTGTTTGACCGAGATTGCTGCCGATGAATCAAGCTCCTGAAACTCTCCACCTCCTCCCTGCACAAATATCCCTGGGCCCGAAGCCGGCTCTTCCCAAGCCAGGGCTTGTTCCTGGGAAGCTGGAGAAATGCGCTGAGTGAGGGTGGAGGAGCTCAGAGCATCTTTTTTCAAGGAGGGAGGCCCTACCCACTCAGGGCTGAGAAAGGGAAAGGCTTTTCTGTGAAAGTCTCTGCTTCTGGCTGGATCGTCATTGCCCACAGGTCCCTGAGGCATAACCCCGCGGGGAGAGGCTGGGCTGTGGACTAGGGACTGTATTCTCACCCGGACGGCGGGTCCCAGCCGGTCCTCCTCTACCTTCACTCTTGCTAAAAAGGGGCACGTGGCCTTTTGCCCCAACCAGAGCCCTGCCCACTCTCCACAGAAAGGTCACACCTGGGGGGACATAAACAACCCCCAGCTCCTGAGAGAGCTGACGGTCTGGAGGAAGGCTTTACGGAGAGGATCCCACTTGGTCCCTAAAGCCACTCCGTGACCTCTGCACGATGATGAAGACTATGAGGATGGTGGTCACTTCTGTGTGCGTATGTGACAGGACAACCTGGGCGCAGGAGGCGCTAGTTTTGTCCCCATTTTACGCCAGAGGAACCTGAGGGAACCTGAGGCCGGAGAGGCTGATGGCAGGGAGACAGCGGAGCCCACGTTCAGCTGAGGGCTGTCTGGCTTACCAGCCGCGCCCTGGACCGCAAGGCCCTGCTGCAGACTCGCCACCCCTCGGAGTGACACCCTGATGTCATCCAGGTGATGGCCAGCCTCCTTGCATCCACCAGCAACAGCAGAAAGACGCAGAGGTGGTCCAGGGCACCCTCACGAAGATGAGAGGGGTGCAGCGGACACAGGCCTGGACTTCTGGGTCTCACACACACACACACACGTGTCTCTGACGGACGGAGCCCCGACTGCTGACCTGGCTGTGACCAGCCTGGGACCGGTCCCTGGGGCCCGGGGTCGGCTCTTTCCCACAGCCCCGGCCACCTGGGGAGGAGGAGCGTGTGGTCACCGGGTTCCTTCCCACAGAGGCCGGGCTCCCAGCGGCCTGGCGCCCGCCCGCCGTGGGAAACCTGGCTGGGCAGGAGCTCGCGGCCGTGGGGCAGGGAAGCCGGCCTGGTTCTCACAGCGCCGGGCCCTTTTCTTTATTTAGCTCAGTCTCCGAGGGTCCGGGCTCAGGCAGGGGGAGGCCGGGGCTTGGCCACAGGTCAGAGGGGAAGGCGCAGTCCGATGGCCTCGGCGGAAGCGACGGCCCCACAGGCACCCCTGGCTGTCTCCTGGGGCCGAGCCCTTTGACCTCACACTGCCGCTCTCACCCCGGGGCACCTCCTGCACCAGCCGAGGCAGGAGCATCAGACCCCCACCCCCCGGGCGGGAACGCGGGCTGCCGAAATGGCTGCAGCTGTGCAGACCCAACACCTGCTCCGCCACGTGCTGGCCCGTGACACTGAGCAGGTCACGTACCCTCCCTGTGGTCTGGACTCCACCCTCCTCAAGATGGAGATAATAAGATCCTCCTTCCCTCCATCAGACTCCGCGCAAACATTAAATGCAAAAGTACTCGGTACCAGAAAGCGCTCGGGAAGTGGCATTAGCCCGCCCCGACCCACCTGAGCGGGGCTCGCCCAGGCGCAACTGCCAACCCCCCCCCCCCGCCCCTGGAGCCTCCGTCACCGAGTCAGGAGCGGGGGCCGGAAGGGACCGCCCACGCGCCCTGCGTCGTGACGTAATTCGCGTGCGCAGGCGCTGTAGGGATCTAGCCGCCTCTAAGGCATCCCTGTGCCCTGAATGTAAACATTGAATGAACAGGTGGGTGGCCAGGTTCCTTGCATTCAGGTGGAAGGACTCAGAGCCTTTAAAAATAATGACCAGTCCTGGCCGGTTTGGCCTAATGAATAGATTCCGGCCAAGGGCACGGACCTTGGTTGCAGGCTTGATCCCCAGTCTGTTTGGGGTGCGTGTGGGAGGCAACTAAAGGATGTGTCTCTGTCTTTCCCCTCCGTCCCACTCTTTCTAAAAATCAATGGAAAAGGTTCCTTCAGGTGAGGATGAACAAACAAAAGTGGCAAAAGCGTATTCTCCGCCTCTAACATCAACTTCATTTATTAATAAACTCCGGGCATTTTTTTTTTTTTTTGAGCTTTCCTTGAATCTCTGTAAACCCCCCAAACCTTTGGAATTCTTAAACATAGGCAATAAGCCCCAATTTTGACTTCTCCTGTTTATGTAACAATTCCAACCCACTTGATTTTTCTTGCAGAGACCAATGTTTTAAAAATTATACTTTTATTGATTTCAGAGAGTAAAGGAGAAGAGAGAATCATCGATTGGCTGCCTCCCGCATGCCTCACTCTGGGGATTGAGCCAGCAACCTGGGCATGGTCAACACTCAACCACTGGGCCATGCTGGCTGGGCTTGCAGAAACCAATTTTTATCCCTTTGATCTTTTTTGAAATCTCCAAATCTGCTCCAGAATGCAAAATAGAAAAGGTTTTTGTATGTAGCATTAAAAAGAAAAAAAAGTAATCACACCATCATGGGTTTTTCCCATCAGAAAACAACAGTGCCGTCCCGTGTGTTCAGCCTCAGTTCTGCTCGTGACCTTATCCGCCACAACACATGTGCCTACACAGCCTCTCCCTCCCTCTTACGGGAGTTGGTCTTTTGCACCCCAGGTGAACTTGGACTTGGGTCTGTGTCGTGGAATGTCATCCTCTCTGTGCATTTCTGATTTGTCAAGGTCTCCCTTAAAATTGGTTCTCCTCTCCCAGACGACTGCCAACGTGGCTTCCTGTATCACCTTCCTTTCTCCGCTGCTGAGAGCAGGCACTGGAGGTGTTTGGGAGGAATTCCCCCTTGTGGCCTGTGTAATCTGCCTCATGAATCCACAGGGAACCCAGGGGGCACCAAGTCCCCCGGCCTGTGACACAGCAATGTGCCCGAAAGGGAAGGATCCGTGGCCCCCGGATGGCGGCAGCCAGGGGCCCTCTGGGAGCTTGACTCTCTCGGCCACACCACGGGCTGCAGGAAGAAGAACCCCCATCCCACCTCCACCCTAACCCCCCAGTGGTGGATAATGAACTCTCCAGCACATGGATAGCCCTGTGGTCTCACCCAGGCTACCCTCCTGCTAGGGGTATGGGGGGTGGGGGAGGCCTGTGGTCTGTAGAAACCCTCCTCTCTGCTGACAGGAGGCCTGCTTTCTAGGTGATGAGGCCCAAGGGGCCGTCTCAATTTTATGAGCTAACAACATTGAAAGTGACTACACCCACGCAAGGCAGAGCTGCTAAGGAGAGAGTGCCTGCTGCCTGGAATGTATGAGAAAATGAGGAAGTGCTGAGAAAAACCTTTACCCAGAGGCCCCAGTAGCCAAACAAAGGCCGGGGTGCCTGGAGAAGGGAGAGACTTGTTAAACAGAGGCCAGAGAGGGGCCTGACTGGCTGGGCCCCACCAAGAAGAAACCTTGACAAAGAAAGGCGGTTGCCATACTGAATTCCTAAGCAGCTGGTGAGTGGCTGTACCAAAGGTCCACATTTCAGGCCAGAGTCAGCCATGTGAGAAACGGAACCTCATAGTCTAGAGTAGAACTATTGCCGACAGTGGTCAGCAAACTCAGTCCACAGAATCAAATATCAACAGTACAATGATTGAAATTTCTTTTAAAGGCCAAAGTTTTTAAACTTAAACTTCTTCTAATGCCACTTCTTCAAAAGAGACTCGCCCAGGCCGTAGTATTTTGTGGAAGAGCCACACTCAAGGGGCCAAAGAGCCGCGTGTGGCTCGAGAGTGGCAGTTTGCTGACCAGGGGTCTAGACTTAAACATACATTTTACCCCTGGATGGCATAACTTGAATCTGACAGTGAAGGCTCCCCCACCCTGCCTACCAGGCCCGCGGGCCAGTGTCCTGCTGGCTCCCAGGCACGAACAGGCAAAGTCATTGTCATCATCGCCTCTCACAATGGCATCTGTCATTCGGTCTGGCCTCCAGCTTTGTACCAAGGTCACCAGCAGCTCCTCTGTCCAGTTGCTAGATCTGTCTCCACTCTCAGCTTCGCCCAGGACCCCCAGAACCACAGAGAAGAGGGCGGGTCCTGACTTTCCTGCCCTGGGGCTCCTGCGGGGCTGGAGGGGTGGGGATAGGGATGGAGGAGGGGCGGTGGCAGGGGTGTGTGTGTAAGAGTTCTCCCAGAGATTGATTCTGGGTCTTCCCTTTCCCTGAGATTTATTCCAGATCAGAGCATGGGAGCCCGCTGTTCTAAGATTCCCTGAAATTGTGGCACTTCTGTATGTGGACAGCGAGGCTCACATGGGCCTGTGTTCTGGTGTATGAACATGTACACACATGCACACACACACACACACACAGGCCTATTCCCAGGGACTTTCCAGGGTCTAAACTCTGTTTCTAGTTGGGAGTGGGGTTGCCGAGGCTTTCTCTTACTAAACATTCTTTCCAAATGCTTGTTTATGGTATAAGTTTTGTTGTGTGCAGTCCTACAAGACTTAAGCTTTTAAAGGAGAGAGAGAGAGAGAGAGAGAGAGAGAGAGAGAGAGAGAGAGAGAGAGAGAGAGGGAGAAAACACGAACTGTGTCCTTGAAACTCACTAGACAGGGTCTGCTTTTCTTATGAATCATCCCTCCCCCGGGGGCAATGAATGCTGCGGACTAAGGGGAAGGCACAGCCCACACAGAAATAGGGAGGGAGGGGCACCCCATTGACATCTCAAAACTATGAAACCAGCTCTAAGTCAGGAGCTCCCTTCCTTGGAAGGCTTTAGGAATTCCAGGCCATAGAAAACCAAGGGTCCAGGCTACAGGTCCTGGTCCCAGAGCACAGGTCCTGGGGACACCGAGGAATGGCAAGTTGCTGGTTTCCGAAGCTGCCCAGAGGGCTGAATGAGGACCAGGCCGAGGTGGGTCCATCTTCACCTTCAGGTTAGCGATCCAACCAGAGCTCAACTTTGAGTTACAAACCAGCCACTTCCCTGTGGACTTTTCGTTTTTTTACTCAAAAACTTTATTGTTTCCTTTGAGTAAGCTTCTTTGTGGCAGTGTTCTCGTCTGACTCATTTTATAGAATAATCCTATAATTTGAGGGTACGTGGCCAATGGCTTAAGAAACCCTCATGGAAAAACCGCAGCCTATGCCATCCGTGCTGAGAGCCATGTAGGCACGGGGGTTACTCACCTTCTTGGTCCGGCTGCAGATGGCTACGAGTTCCTGGAGACCCTGAAACAGGTGGCCCGGGACAACACTGACAACCCGGACCTGAGCATCATCTGGATCGACCCGGACGACTTCCCCCTGGTGAGTGGCTCAGACCGGGCCCCGGCCCGGGGTCGCTGTCACAGTGTCATGCTTGGGTGTGGTGTGAGGGCCTCTCCCATGAAGGAGGATGTGAAACAGGAGGGGCAATTGCAGAAACCCAGTGGTCGCCCCATCCAGCAGGGGAGACCTTGGCCACAGGGGCAACATTGACCTTGGGGCCTGGTGCTGACCCTAACATGGTTAGATATATTTGTTCTCACTCCCTGGAGACCAGAAGTCTCAGCTGAGCTGCTGAAATGCTTCTGCCAACAGCGTGATAGCTGCCTGCAACCAACCCATCACCACCCACTGCTGTAACCTTTCTCATTTTCCTGAGTAGGGACTGTCATTCTGAGGCGACCTGAGTTACTAAGTGATGAGAAGCAGACGTGAGCTCTGCATAGAGCCCAGAGCTGCATGGGGAGGAGCCACCTCCAGGGCAGGGACCCATTCTCGGTCGGCTTCTCCCAGGTCCTGGCCTAGTGTCCAGCCCGGGACTAGCACCTGTCAGAGCCTTAAAGTCCAAACTCTCGCTGGTGTCAGCGATCAATGAGCAGCAAGCCTTGGTTATGCTTGGTTTAAAGAGAATAAGCAGGATTTGGACAATACACAAGCCCAGTGGTGGTGGTGATGAATGCAGCTGCTGTACTGTGTGCCTGGAACGAGGGTAACTTCTTCCCATGGATCGTCTTGTCTAACCCTCTCCACACCCTGTGAAGTGGGGACTGTTATCATCCCCAGGGCACAAAGGGAAGGAACGGCCACGGAGAGGTCAGAACAGTGACTGGTCCGTGTGATGTTCCAACCCAGGCCAACGTGATGACAAAGCTTCATCTGTCAGTCAATAGACCTCAGGTTGAGCTAATTGCTGGCCATCAGGAACGTTTCATAGGTTATAAATGACAAGTCTAGCTTCTTCCAGGAGTTACCATAGGTTGGGACCGGTCGTGCTATGGCTAAACAGACAAAACCGAGGGGTTTTAGTGATTGCAACCCAAGCCCACATGCAGGACGAGTGCATCCCAAGCAGAGACTTCCATGCCACCTGAGGTCAATGCCATTGTTGTGGGCAATCCTAACAAAACCACGGCCGTGGGAGGCGCTGTGTGCTGTAACTTGGGCCATGGCAAGAATGTATTTCTTTATATATATATATATATATATATATATATATATATATATATATATATATATATATTGATTTTTTACAGAAAGGAAGGGAGAGAGATAGAGAGCTAGAAACGTCGACGAGAGAGAAACATCAACCAGCTGCCTCTTGCACACCCCCTATCGGGGATGTGCCCACAACCAAGGTTCATGCCCCTGACCAGAATCAAATCCAGGACCTTTCAGTCCGCAGACCGACGCTCTACCACTGAGCCAAACCGGTTTCGGCAGCAAGAATGTACTTCTAATTTATCTGGACGCCCTGGTTATGCAAGCTTGCGGATGGTCTGCAGCTCTGACCTGCTCTGTTTGCCTTGCTTTTTGCAAAATAAAAATCTCAGACAATTCTGATTTCTGGGGCCCATCAGGCTATGTACTCACCTGGGAGACTTTCCCACCACGAATGCCTCCACTATTATTGGTAGCCCATGGCCCCCCATTCTTTAGTCCCGCCCCTGTCAGAGATCAGCCCACAGGGACCCAAGGCTGGCTGAATGAAGAGGCACTTTTCTTACTTGTACGCCAACTGACTTTATGGGCATAGTGGCACAGCGTCAGGGGTTTTTAAATGGGGTGTTAAGAGAGGCAGAGGGAAATCTCTCCCACCACATAAGCTATAAAGAGTCCCAAGCAATTTGGGGATCGACTTTGGACCACCTCTGCAACGCTCCCCCCTACAGCTGCATACACGTCCATGTTACACGTTTCATGGTTTTTGACATCCTTTCTTCCCGTGCTGACTTAAAGGGCTGAGGGCTGGGCAAGTCTTCAATTTCCTAAGTGCCCGCAGCTGTTGGGAGCCCTTCACCCAGCGGTGACCTAGTTACTGTGGCGGGATGGCAGGTGGGTGCACCACAAAAAGTGCTTTCAGCAGGGAATGCCCTGGCCCCACCGTCTAATTGTACCTTCTGTTGCCACAGCTCATTGCCTATTGGGAAAAGACTTTCAAGATCGACCTATTCAAGCCGCAGATTGGGGTGGTGAACGTGACAGATGTGAGTACGCCCCGTGGAAGCTTGCCCAGGCCCCCGTGGCCGGCCCCGTGTCCTGCCGAGCAGCCTTGACCATGAGGCCATGCAGGGAGTCCAGTCCCTCTTAAAAGGAGCAGGACCCCGGGCCCCGCCCAAGCTCAGTGTGGCCGGAGCCTCGTCTCCGAGCCAGTCCCAACCTATGGTTCCTGGTTCCCTCCCAGGGTGCATGCCCTTGCTTACGGAACCAGCCTGGCCTGGGTCACGGCCTATTTGGGAATAAGCCCCCCTGTACTTTCTTCCAATGCCCCCAAACAAGGTCTCTTCGCACAACGGCCCCCGCACTTGCAGCTGCCATTGCAAGATGGATGGGGCCCGCCCCCTGGCACCAGATCACAGGGAGGAGACCGGGTCATAAGAGGAAGCCATGGGGGTGGCGAGGCTTCTCCTCACCATCCAGGCCTCACTGGCCCGAGGGCGGCAGAGGCTGGTGAGGAGGACTGGCCGAGCCTGAGGAATGGCAGGCCTCAGTCCACACATCCGATGCAGCTCCAAAAACAATACACAGGGACAGACATACCAGGCAGACGGATAATGGACAGAAAGGGATGGCCACAGAGGGTCCATCAGAGCCACAGCTAACTGGTGCCGACGCATGCAAAGGGGGCCCATTAGCCATTCCTCTCGCCCTGTCGACAGTGTTCAATCAGCAGGGGAATTCTACAGTTATGTATTTTGTAAACTAGTTTTTATATTAATAATAATTCCAACAATCTGCTCAAGTTGAAACCCTTCAAGCCAATATAGCAAAGAAGGTGAAAAGCAAAAACATGCTGCACTGCCAACCCCCTCATCCTAGTCTGATCCCTGAGGTAAACGGTGGTGGTAGTTTCGTGGCTATCCTACCAGACATGTAATCGTATATTATAAAGAGCTAATATGCTAATTAGACTGAACAGCAGAATCACTGTCCAGAATGCGAGGGCCAAGCCCCTTGCACAAATTTCGTGCACCAGGCCTCTAGTTCTATATAAAATAGAATATGTAACTAAGAGGTACAAACTGGTAGTTACAGAATAGTCACAGGAATGTTAAGTGCAGCACAGGGAATACAGGTTAATATTGCAATAACCACGTATGGTGCCAGGTGGGGATTGGAAATACCGGGTGAGAGGGGGACCACTTTGTCAAGTACACAATCATCTCACCACTCTGCTGCATACCTGGCCCCAACACGGAAGAGAGTTAAAACAGTATCAAAGACCAAGAGCCACATGTTACTAATATCAACTCATGAGCAGCACCGGATTTCATTAATAAATTAAAATCGTTAAGAATGGACTATAGGTGTTGTTGGATAGGGATCTATATACCAGCCGCGTGGGGCCCTTGGGTCCGACTGGGCCCCAGACCTCGCTCACGGCCCCATCCTGCCCCTGCCCGCAGGCTGACAGTGTCTGGATGGAGATTCCGGATGACGACGACCTGCCCACGGCTGGGGAGCTGGAGGAGTGGATTGAGGACGTGCTTTCTGGAAAGATAAACACCGAGGAAGACGACAAGGAGGATGACGATGATGACGATGATGATGGTGACAGCGATAATTCTGATGAGGAGGAGAATGATGACAGTGATGATGATGATGATGATGACTAGCTTCGGTTCCACCTGGTTTTGATGAAAACGGAATCCCAGCTCCCCACTTCCACACGGACAGCACCAGGGGGCAGCCAGCAGCCACAGCCACGCCCAGATGCTCCTCTCCCTTTCCCAGCATCCCTCCCCACCCCTTCCCATCAGGAGCTGTACAATTCAGCACATGCACATGCCTTTCTCAACCCCGTCACTTTGCTCAGCAAGGACCATGAGGAACTGTTCCCCTGTGGATGGTCCTGACCGTCACGGGAAAGCCCTGCTCTCTGTCCGGCCACCAGTGACCATGGCAGCACCGGACTCTGGCGTTCCGGGGAGAGCCCTCCCTAACACCTCTACTCAAGTTTACTGTCTCCTTTGGCTCCAACAGGGCCAGAATGGACAGCTTGCTAACTCCCACACACACAGCGGCCGTATTGTCATCAGAGCCCAGGGAATACACGAAATCAATCCTGTAGCCCCGTGCCTGGATCAGTGAGACCCTTGCAGGGGTGGCTCAGCCTTGGAGACAGGCCAATGAGTCAGCTTCTCGTGGCTCTATGAAGCTTGTTCTTTAAGTGAAGTCAGACCGTTATGAGCATAGACCCAAGCCTTCGGATGGCTAGCGAGAAGCCTTGTACAAGTGCATGTGGATGGAGGTTACTTCCAGTATGTGGGGCACTGGGTTGGAGGTTAACATGCCCTGACCTTCCCTGAGGGACAAGTCTCATATGGGAGGGAGGGGACACTGAAAGAATGAAAGATTTTTATCTTTTCTGATGGGGCAGATGAGCTCGGGTCTGGGACACCTCCCCCTTCCCCTTTGGAGAAAGGGTTGGTTTGTCCAGAGGCCATGTAACTCTCCTTTCACCAGCACCCCCACAGGACAGGAAACAGCGGCACTAAAATAGACATGCCCAAGTGCCTTCAGAACTCTCTAAAAGTTACATCGTGCTCGGTAGTTTTAGCGTTCCGTGTGAATAAGAATGTTCTAAATTATTTTCTCAATCTTTTAACATGTGTAAGACACTGCAAACTCTACCAAAAATAGGGCAATCCTTTTAAGGAATACTAGCTAACTGTCATTAAACTCATATTTTGAAAATATTAAAACTATTTTGTTTTGGGTTTTTTGGGGGAATTTTTATGAGTTCATTTGAGCCAAACTGATGGCCAATGCTGGGGGCGCAGGCCCAAAAGCTCCCAATATTAAGACTGTCTTGGAAATCCTCTCTGATTTCTGATCTTGCACCCATTCTCTTCCTCCCCCCACCCCCTCTCTCTCTTCAGTTTTCCTTCCTGGCCTTCCTTCCTCTGTCTGCCCTTTAAATGTTAGTGTTTCCCAGTATCTCAGCTCTTTCTAACATGTTTCTAGGATAGGATCATCTATGTCCATCAGCCACTACTTATGTGCTAATGACTTCCATGTCTGTTGTTAACCTTGACTTAGACCCATTTATTCAACTGCTCTTGGATATCTTGGTTTGAATGCTGCACAAATGCTTCAAACAATGTTCTTCTCTAGGGTTCCCCCTCCTCCTCTTAGTGGAGCCCCAGTTTGAATGAGTGATGTCATTATCTATCCAATTGCCTAGGTCAGTGGTCGGCAAACCATGGCTCTCGAGCCACATGCGGTTCTGTTGACTAATGAGTTTGCCGACCACTGTCCTATACTACCCTTTACCTCTTTGCACACAATATGCCACAATTGCCTAATCCTCACAGTTTCCAACTACACGGTAATATTTAGTCTAGTCCAGTGGTGGGCAAACTCATTAGTCAACAAAGCGGAAAACCGCGGCTCATTTGCCAACCACTAGCCTACATGACCTGGTCTCTTCCCGTCTACATCCGTGGCATTTGTGTGTACCCCAATTCGTGGCACTTACTTATTTATTAATAAGTATTTTTTATTTAAGAGAGGAAGGGAGCAAGCTATAGACACATCAATGATGAGAATCACTGACAGGCTGCCTCCTGCACGCCCCCTGCTGGGGATCGAGCCTGCAACCCAGGAATAGAACTGTGACCTCCTGGCTCAGAGGTTGATATTCAGCCACTGAAGTCATGCCAGCCATGCCCAGCGCACTTATTTAAATTGCAACACATATTTCCATGTTTGTCCTTTCCATAAAGTGTGGGCAAGGAATTTATCTTCGCATCCCAGCACCAAGTAGACAGTTCGTTATTGAACCGATGAGTGAGTAACTGATTCATCAGAATACCTGTAACACCCTAGGACTGCTGGGTAACAAGGTGTAATCCCCAGGACTGCTGGGTAAAACAATGTGTGCAGGGCTTCCGTACTCTTATTTCTCCCCCTCACAACCCAAGGCAGGTACATCCCATGCTGGGCTATGCCGCTAACCAGCCAGGCCCAGGCATACCTCAAGTAACCTCTTGGGGAGATAAGTTTTCAAAGCCCTCTTTGAAGCTAATCTTTCAAATGGCCGAGGAATGCGGTCCGTCATAAAAGTGGTCTGTTCCCCAGCCCGGGGAGATCCCCTTGTTCGCAGTGGGAGACCCTGAGCAATGCGCCTGGGGTTTAAATCCTGCCCTGGGCTCCCGTATCAGAGGCTCTGAGGGTCACCCGGGCACTGTCTGGAAGCAGCTGCTTAGTCATGGGTCTGAAACGTTCTAAGCTGATATGCATGGGATGTTTGGCCTGGAACGCGATGCTAATGCTTTAACGTGCATTATCTCACTTAATTTTCTCAGGCTCTCAGGAGACGGGTCTGGTTATTAGCCCCGTTTTACAGACGAGGAATCCGAGGGGGACATGGGGGGCTCGTGTAATTTTCCTAAGGTCACACAGACACTTTAAAAGAGTGGCAATAAGCCAAAACCAGTTTGGCTCAGTGGATAGAGCATCAACCTGTGGACTGAAGGGTCCCAGGTTCAATTCCAGTCAAGGGCATGCACCTTGGTTGTGGGCACATCCCCAGTAGGGGGTGTGTAGGAGGCAGCTGGTCGATGTTTCTCTCTCATCGATGTTTCTAACTCTCTCTCTCTCTCCCTTCCTCTCTGTAAAAAAAATCAATAAAATTTATTTGAAATAAACATAAATAAGTAAATAAATAAATAAAAGAGTGCCAATATAATCCCATTTTTACACTTAAATCAAGGATTTAAATGAAGTTCCTATAATTAAGGAATCAAAGGATCTCATTTCTTTTTCTCAGAAAGTATCCGAAGATGGACTCAAGTGCATGGCCCACAATCCTTTTCACTGATGATGCCAAGAGACCCCTTCTTTGTTCATTTAGGAGCGATGATCCATTTAAACAGTATGGGGAACGTCAGATCATCAGAACGGCAAGATCACCCTATTAGGAAAAATATAGTTCACTGTGTTATCAGGAATGCACAATCATTTTCATGAGCAAGAAGCTGGCACAGGAAAAATGTTCGAAGCACCTTGTGTCCTTGCCACAAATGCATCGTCCTTTTGTCGGAAATATGAATTCTCAGAACCACAGTAATAAGATCAGATGTAAATTCAGACAACATATCCCAAAGTCAAATACAGTTTGGCTTGTCCAATGTCAACATCAGTCTGTGTAATTAGAAAATGCCCGCATGACACTTTGACAGCAACAGGGAATCCCTGAGTTTCCCTCCAAGCAGAGATAGTGCTGTTCCCATGCCCCTGCTGATGGCCTTGCCTCTGGCACTGGCTTTGCCTGGTGCCATCCTGAAACCCCTCGCTCCACGCCCATCACTTGGCAGTTTTTCACTGGAGACTCTCAAAACTCTGCAACATTCTGCGGCTGCACCATGGGCAATGGGCGGGAAAGAAAGGAATCTTTGGTTTATGTCTGCACACAGCTTTCATCGTTTCTCCAGTAGAGTTTGTTCCTGAGGACATAAATTGTGCACATCTTGGCTGATGGTCCAGAGCAACAACTTATCAATGATCTATACAATGAATATGTTCACACCAATTGCTTTCTCTCACTGCTGTCCATGCCACAGATAAGAATGTGTGAGCTGTCAGTGCTCCGCACAGGTAAAGAGATAGCTGAGTGAAAATCCATTTGTCAAATAACCAAGTTCCCTTTAAATAGGCCTACCTAAAATAAACCACCAATTTAAACTGAAATACCAAGGCACTCTAAAAAAACAATCCAATACTCACCACCACCACCGCCCCAAATCCAGCATATGACACTTTTCTCACTCTTGACTCAGAGATCTTTTTTCCATTTATGGATTTACTCAGAAAGGCCTGTTTCATCTCCAGGTTTTAGAGCCTAAGATTTTAAGTTCCAGTAGTCTGTTCATGCAGAATATTCTCTTGGCCGTTCGTGTTGAGAAATGGTCATCCGCCAGGCTGGCTACGTGCACCCCGCAGTGAGCTGTACCCACCCGACTGGACATGCCACACATTTGTACCCGTAAGTGATGGCTCGGAAATCCAATCTGGTCATAATTTAGGGGCCCAGAGGCGATTGCTAGTTAATGAACGCCTACAGTGAGTCCATGATAAAGACCAGGAATTATTCACAAAGCTTGGATTTTCTCTGATCCCACTAGTACTTCTGTGCCACAAGAAATACCAAAGACATTCAGGTGAAAAGCACAGGGGGTTTGACACATTTGTCCTGAGGCTTGAGATAAGCGTGTTTTCATCCCACTGAGACGGGAAGAAAACACCCATGTTCTTCAGCCGAGATGTACACACGGCAGACTCAGCGCCCATGGGAAGTGACCCTTCGGGCGTTAGGGATCTGTTGTGTTGGGGACACTCCTGATAGCGATTTATTTCACAGGTGAAACAGAACAAGCGGGGTTATCTAAGGAGAGGTGGGACCAGGCCCGGGAAAGGACTCCCAGCCCTGAAGTCGAGTTGCACTCAGTAGTTTTAGATTTCTCATCTGCCCTTTGAAACCTGTCCCCGGTCCTGACGAGCACAATGCCGAGGGTGTGAGCACTGTCCCCTCTCCTGTCCTTACTGAACACAAACAGCAGGAGAGAAGAGGATAGATAGTGTAGGCACAATGGAGCGCAGACTTAAAGCCACAGGAATGGGAAAACAGGGATGCACAGCTCCAGGCTAGGCCTGCGGGTCGTCCCTCTCCCCGCAGCCGGCGACAGGATGTGGACACAGAATGGGGAAGAGGCTGCCTCAGCTCAGGAGGCCAGGCCAGGCTGCACACCTCCCTGGGACCAAAGCCTAAGATAGCTGCAGGGACCAATACCAGGTCCAGCACTGGTCTTACCCCAGGGGTGACCCTCATAAGACTGATTTTTCTGGGGATTCTGTTCATTGAAAATCCAGTGGCATCTGCTTCTGGTGAGGCCATGTCTCTGGGCAAACCCAAAGAGAAGGAGCAAAAGCACACCCATCTGCAACAAACAACACAGATGCACAGATGCCTAACATGCAAACATGCCATCTACCTGCTAAACACATGCTGAAAAAGGCTCATGTGCATGGAAACACCCAGCCGCACAGGACACACGTCGCTGCTGAGGGAGCCTGACACAGCAGGGCCCGGGGGGAAGTCGACCGAAGGCTGATTCGCTGGTCTCCCTGAGTGGCTAGGACACTCTCCCCCAAGGAAGGCATGGGAGGGAGAAGGGGAGCACGCTCTGCCCACACGACAGGCACATGGCTCCCTGCTGGGCTATCTCCACATCTAAACACGGGCACTCAAAGGGGAAGCTCAGATGCAAGACAGTCCTGGACGAGCACCTCATCCCTCTCCTACACTCAGCAGCACAGCCACATCCTCCCCTCCGGATGGAAGAGGAGGCTCATACTCGGGCAACAAGCCACACATGACACACACACATACACACGACACACACAGGCATGCACACACACAACACACACAGGCATGCACAATACACACAAGAGACACACACAACACAGATGTGCACGCACATACACGCAACACACACAGGCATGCGCGCACATATACACACAACACACACGTTTGCGCGCACCTATAGGGGCCATCTGCCTCTTACCACCTGCTGTATGGAACCTGTCCTGTCCGCAGATCTGAAGCGGACAGTGGGAGAAAGGGAGATGGTAATCGTCGGGCAGAAAGCTGGCCAAGCACTTTCTCTAGCGCTTGCTTAATGAACCTGAGAGGAAGCATTCTGTGTTTCCACTTAACGGCTAACGCAAAGGATGGATGAATGGCCGCACCTTAACATCCCGTCCGCCTCCGAGCACGCAGACTTCAACGTTCAGGTCACGGGCGATTAACAGTGGCCATTACCTCCGAAAGGACACTCGTAAGGACAAAAGTCGTCTAGTGGTTGAAACACCGCCAGGGAGACAGCGTGCCCGAGATCACACGCTCATTACCTCCTGCTCTTTAGCATTTAACATTCACATTTTAGTAACTTCGGTTGAAAGTTATAGAAAAATCTATAAACAGTTAAGGCACATGAAATCTGTCTCCTGTGAGGTGGCTGTATCGAAAGGCACAGGACACCCCCCCCTTTTAAGAAGAATAGCCACTGGCTCCGGGAACTGACACAAAGACCCACTGTGCTCCGGGCGGATGCGGCTCTGGAACCTGCAGCAAGCGAACGCCACGGGCGCTGTCCCCGCTGTGAAGGGTTTGAATGTGCAAAGTCCGTGTCCAGAGACCCTTTATTTTGGTATTCTTTCAAAAAAGGATTCGTACAAAGTCAGTGTAAAAAAAAAAAAAATCAGTATTCACCTTAAAACAGAAACAGTAATTTCAGAAGGTCTGACAAGGCTGAGGGACAGAGACACGGGGAGAGAGGAAATATATTAACCTGTCTTCGTCTGCTGGGGATGCAGGCGCCGAAACAGCCAATCCGACGTGACCCCTCCCGGGCTGGCTCCCGCAGACGGGGCTGGGAGCCCGGGCCCCGGGTGCTGGCGGGCAGCGTCGCTGAGCACCGCGTGCAGGACACCCGGGGCGTGCCCACCGCTGTGCTCCCGACGCTCATAGCCTGGGACGTGATCACCTTCACGCGGCCAAAGTCATAGACATTCACCATCTCCCGAAACAGATTCCTGAGAAAGACATCGTCCTAAGGAATGTCCAGCTTGGAGGGACCTACAGGCAGACACGAACAGGCATGGAAGCACCATGGTTACGGGGTGTGAGTGTGTTCCATCAGCAGAACCGTGTGGCGACAGCGCACCTGGGCCCAGGCCAGGCCGGCCGGCTTCCCTTCCTGCTTCCCAACATGCCTTCCTTTGGACCCGAAGGCTGTTCGTTCAACAACAGTTTCCTTTTTCAGGTACAAACATCCAAAGCCCATTCTGATGTAACGAACGACACACGAATCCTGTGCCACCTGTGGATGCGTAAACCGAGGGGGGGGCGTGGGAACACACGGAAGTGAGGGGATGGGACCCTAGTACCCGGGCAAAGCTAGAGGGAGCACTTGGTAAAGGTGTGCTGTGGATACAGGAAGAGGGAGGCAACCAGAATCCGGTGCGGCTCCCCGCAACCTCCTGCAGAGGCCTCTGCCGGGAAGGCTCCCCAGCCCCGGCCCAGGCCTCGGGAAAGCCCCTGGAACCAGCTGCATTGAAGAAGCTGATCACAGACCCTAAGACTGGCCCCCACTCCCCTTTCCCTACACTCTGAGGCGCGCTCGCATTCTCTCTCTCTCTCTCTCTCTCTCTCTCTCTCTCTCTCTCTCTCTTTTGGTGCCCTGATCAGGAATGAAACCAGAGACCTCTCGGTGAGTGGGTCGATGCTCTACCAACTGAGCCACGCTGGCCAGGGCACCATTCCTTCTCTCTTAACCAAACCCTACAAGCCACGTCAACACCAGGGGCCGCGGAGCCCTTCCCGGGAGTGAGCGGTGGGGGCAGGAGCGGGATGCACAGTGACGGTGGTCAGAAATCGGGGGCTGGACGCCAGCAGCAGCTATCCCCGCGGTGGCACAGCCTGGTCTCCCCCGACAGGCACTCCCGGGGACGTCAGAGGCTCCAGCTGAAGCCAACAGTCCGACCCAGCATCCGGCCTCCCCGGTGGGCGGGCAGCAGGGGAGGGGTTCCCGCTGCAGCCCAAAGGGCCATGCCAGCTGGCTTGCCCTCCCTGCAGCCTACCTGGGGGGCAATCCACACTTCCCTATGCAAACAACCCGTGGGAGTGCCTGAGGCACATGGGCAGGGCCCGGTCCCTGGCAGCTCTGACAGTTGGGCTTCCTGAGCCGGACCTGTCAGCCAGGCGGGGGTGGTGTGTGTGTGTGTGTGTGTGTGTGTGTGTGTGTGTATGTGTGTGTGTGTGTGTGTGTGTGTGTGTGTGTGTATGTATACCTGTCGAGGGGGAGGGGGATGGGTGAAGACAGGTGCCCATCACAGAGTAAGCAAAGGCTACCTGCTCTGGCCGGCAGGGAAACGGGATCAGAAACAGAGCAGCCAGGTTTTCTCTTTGGGAAAAGAAAGATCCAATCAAATCGTTAGTGCACGTTTTCTGCTGTGATCTCTCTCTGCGGGACCTAAGGCAACAAGGAGCAGCCCCTGGCTCCGGGGGAGTGGAGCTGGAGCTTCTCTCTCTCTCTCTCTCTCTCTCTCTCTCTCACACACACACACACACACACACACACACACACACACACACACACACGCTGGCTTCTCCCCTGGGAGCTGTGGACGGAGAAGGCGGACGAAGCTGTAAGGCAAGGCTCCGCTTTGGTTACAGCTGCCACAGGACCGCCCGGGGCCGCCAGCCTCTGAGAAGCCCCATCCGCCAGCCAGGTGTCCCCCGCACGGGTCTCCAGGGCGACACCTCGTCTTCCTTCCAAATAAAGTGCAGGTCGGGCTGCGGGTCCAGCGCCGGCCAGAGCGTCACACACACAGGGCGGCCCCCGCGCACACGCCGCCCTCCGCACCCTCTTCTCCGAACGAAGCCATGCACGCGGGGCGTCTACACCGACGTCTCCGACTGCAAGCGGAGGACGAACTTGTGCGACTTGGGGTCCACGAACTCCTCCGAGAGCACGAGGAAGGGGATCTTCTTCACGGAGACCACGAGGCCGAAGTCCAAGCACTTGAGGACGAAGATGAGCCCGTCCCGCAGCCCGTTCGTCACGGCCTCGTCGCTGACCAGCCTCCACTGCGTGGACAGCCAGCGCTCCTTGTCATACTGCAGCGTGGGGCCCGCGCCCAGGTACCGCTCCAGAAAGGCCTGGAACAGGGGAGGAGGGCCGTGAGGGAGAGCCACCCGGGTCCGAGGGCAGCCCCACCGCTCAGGCCCCTGCCTGCAGGTCCGCCTCCTCCCACACGGAGCGCTCAGGCCCCTGCCTGCAGGTCCGCCTCCTCCCACACGGACAGCTCAGGAGGGCAGAGCGCAGAGAACACTCCAGAACACGAGCTGCACACCTGCAGGGACAGACCTGAGCGCAGACACCTGCTCTCCCACGGGCTGGCTGGGGACTGGGGCAGCCACCTGACCTCCAGGTGGGGATGACAGCACCCAACTCAAGAGGCCTGCTGTGAGGAGGAAGTGGGCAACGAACCCCCTCACGGCAGGAGGGGACTACCATCAATCGCCAATCAATGCCAATCAAGGCCAGCAACCGTTACTTTATGTTGGATCTGGGGTAGGGTGTGGAGGGAAGAGTGTGCATGGCAAGTCTGAGGGCTGGCCAGGCCTCCCTCCCCTCATACCTCTTGGTACCAGCTCCTTGGGTTCTCTGGGGTCCCCCCACCTTCACGGTATCACTCTGTCTGCTGAATGTCGTCTTTAAATCCCCGCCCCTGGCCCTTTAAGTCTTCTCCAAGCAGCCCTGGACCTCTAGGACAGATGTGCACGCCTTGAACGCCGTGGGTCACTGCTGCGCGCCCTGTGGCTTCCCTTTAGGACAATTAATTGCTGACCTGGTGTCTGGGCTCCACACAGGATTTCCCTCTTCTGGGGGGCAGGCACTGGTTTCTAAATGTGGCTTTCCATGGCACCCAGCACACACCCAAGGCTCCACAGCACGCCCACCACCTCCATCAGCACCCCGGCTCGGCTGCGAGGAAGGATGAACCGAAGGGACAGATGGAAAATCACCCAGTATTGCTCTGGTCTGGACGCTGGTCAGGACGCTGCCACAAGCCCCAATCTCGGCTCTGCAAGCACTTGTTCTAAGCAGAGCTGAGCCTCTGGTACAGACACACTTCTCCTATGACAAGAGCTCTTATGAAGAGCTCGGAAGAGAAGCAATTCAACAATCAGAGAAAGAAAGTTGGTAAGATACCTTAGAGGAGAATACACAGAACATCCACGTAGGAAAGATGTCCTGTCACATTAAGAATTTAAAAAATATAAATTCAAATAATAATACTTTCCTTTCTCTTAGGTGGGCAGTGAGTAAAAAGAACGGTGACCCCGACGCTGCCGAGTGTGCGAGGGAAGAAGCAGTGCCCTCCGATCTGAGGGCTCCCAAGGCGAGAGTAACACTGCCTCACCCCTCGGGAGGACAGCCTGTGTGTGACCCAGCGGCTCCCCTGCGAGAAACGCATCCTCTGGAACTGCTAGCAGCACGTGTGCACAGAAACACACGCAAAGCAGACAGTCACGTCACCACTGTATGATCAGGGGCTGGCAAACTTCTTGGAATGTAAATATGTTAGGCTTTACAAGTTCACTCTGTCATGACCACTCAGCTCAGCCTCGTGGAGAGAAAGCAGCCACAGGAGCTATGTAATAAGGGGACGTGGCCGCGTTCCGATCATACCGAGGAAGGAAAGGGCCACGCCCTGGCTCAGACTCACAGAGAGCTCCGTCCGAGAGCGAGAGCATACCAACAGGCAATCAGTTAAACCAGCAATCGGCAAACTCATTAGTCAACAGAGCCAAATATCAACAGTACAATGATTGAAATTTCTTTTGAGAGCCGAAAACCGACTTCTGCGCATGGGCCACGAAGTTTCAATCGCACTGTACGTGCGTGCCCGTAATATTTTGTGGAAGAGCCACATTCAAGGGGCCAAAGAGCCACATGGGGCTCTCGAGCCGCGGTTTGCCGACCACTGAGTTAAGCGAATCACAGGATTCCGTGGAAGGAGTTGCAGCTATTAAAAAGAGTAAGTTCCAGGAGTAGGACGGAGATCAGGAAGTCTTGACATCGAAAGACAGCCAGAGAGCTTTAAAAAAGAAAGCAAGTTTCCAAGACACCATTTGTTTCCCCACCCCCATTTCTGCTTTACACACACACACACACACACACACACACACACACACACTCTCGCACACACACACATCTCACTCTATCAGGAAGAACTGTTTGCGAGAGGGGAATGAAACCTCACTTCGTACACTATTCTATTCTTTAATGTTTGGACTTTTATACAAAGGCTATTATTATTAATTCAGAAAATCAGACATTTTTGAAATGAAGGAGAAAGCAAGAGGGAAACTAAAAAATCCTGCAGGAAGGGAACGGCCTGCCTCTGCTGGGGCCCAGCCTCACTGCCCGCGCAGACAGGCCGCCCGCACTGCTCTGCATCCCCCGCCTGGAACCTCACATTCTAACAAAGAGCCTCCCCCATCCCACTGGGGTCAGAGGTGCCACACTCCGTAAGCGCTGTTCTACGTTTAGGTTGTTTTGTTTGGAGTTAGTACAGATTACTTGGCAAAAATCACCTGCAGGTGTATTCATGGACACGTGTGATTGTGCTGACTACTTTCTCTGGGCGAGTCCAAGAACCTGCAAACCTTATGCTCCTTTCCCTGTACGTATCTGCTCTCCCGAAGGCTGTCACTGGTTAGTGAGAACGTAACCAGCGGTAGTTCATGTATGTGCAGGACAATGTGGGAACACAGGTCCTCACGCCGACACCGGCATCCCACGGGCAACCTAGGCCAGGATCATGTACTCTGTGTCATGCTGCCATATGTAATGTAATTCTCACACAATCCTATCAGGGAGAGACTGTTACCACCTCCAGTGTATGAAAGAGGAAACAAGTGTAGAGTAATGTAGGGAAGTCACCAACCAGTGAGTAGTGGTACCGGGACTTGAGTCACTTCTGTCGGGAGAGAGAGGTCGTCCGCCAAACCCTTACTCCATCTCATCCCCCTGGCCACCTCCCTCTCGGAGCCCCACGATGGTTTCCTAAAAGCGTGCTCCCATCACGATCTCAAAGACCATGCGGTACAATGAACCCCACCACATCCGAGACGCCTCACGAAGGGCTGGCATTGTTTCTGCCTCTGACAACAATAGCCATTCGCTGAGTTCTCATCGTACAGCGGGCACTGCTCTGAGCGCGCCACACGGATGAACTCCTTCATTTCTCATAACCACCCAGTGAAGGGGACATCGGTATCATCCCCATTTGCAGAATAGGAAACCGAGGCACAGAGCCGTGAAGCGGTTGGCTCCAGTTGGTGCAGGAGCTGGGTGAGAACCCACCGAGGACCCCTCACTACGACCTGGACTGCTGTCTCTGCAGGGAAGTCTTTCCTCGGCTTGACCCTAGAGGCCTTCAGAGGCACATCTAGAAACCAACTGCAGCCACAGACCAGGGAGCAGGGGGGATCCCACATCCCTGTCAGCTGGCGCCTCGAAGGAGCCTTTGATGTGGTCCCTCCCGGTCACATCCGAGTGCGGGGACCCGGGGGCGGGGCGCACCTTTGGGGTCATGCTGTGGGTGATGCAGAAGGCCAGGTGCTGCAGGATGCTCTCCATGCTGTGGTAGTGCTGCTGCCGCGTGGTGCGCAGGTACTTCTGCAGGGCCCGGGCCATGGACGGGAAGATGGCCTGGGCGGCCTCCCTGGGGTCCATCACCTCCCCCGGGGCCTTCTGCTGCTCCTCGGCCTGCAGCCGCTGGATGTGGATGAAGGCCTCCTCCACCGCCACCACCAGCCTGGGAACAATGGGAATCGGCATCAGGGCGGGGCTGGGGGGCAGTCCTGCGGACCTGGATGGACTCCTGCCCACCTGCCGCGCCCAGCTCCCCTCAACTCCCCCCGAGGCCCTTAGCTGTCACTCTAGAACTAAGGTGACCAGACGTCCCGCTTTTCAACAATTTGTCCCTCGTCCCGTGGCATTTTTAAAAGGACTGTTTTATTTTATTTTATTTATTTTTTAAAATATATTTTATTGATTTTTTTACAGAGAGGAAGGGAGAGAGAGATAGAGAGCTAGAAACATCGATGAGAGAAAAACATCGACCAGCTGCCTCCTGCACACCCCCGACTGGGGATGTCCCCGCAACCAAGGTACATGCCCGTGACCGGAATCGAACCTGGGACCTTTCAGTCCGCAGACCGACGCTCTATCCACTGAGCCAAAGCGGTTTCAGCAAAAATCGGGACTGTTTTAAAACGCCGAGAGACAAATCGTTAAAAATCGGGACTGTCCCGCCAAAAGCGGGACATCCGGTCACCTACCTCTAGACAGTAGGCAGGGGAAGAAGGGAGGGAGGATTACGTGGTGGGAGGCGGGGAAGGAGGGAAGAACTGGGGCTGTGGTGGGTGAGGAGGAAGGAGCCTGCGACCTGGAGGTGACCTCTGTTCTCAATCCCGCCGCCGCCTTGCTCGGGAGACTCGCTCTATCTGGTCAGCAGAGGGAAACGCATGCCAAGGCCCCTCCGCCTCTGAGCGGGGCTGGTGGAGCGAAGCCGCTTACTAAGAGCCGGCTGATCCTGTTGATCTCACCGCCACATAGCCGTCCCAGGGAGGGAAGAGGCCCAGCACACACGGTGGGACCACCTCTGTCCCTCTCCGTGCATGGGATCAGGTCTAGAGAACCAGCGGGGCCTGGGGCACAGGATGGGGCCCCTTGGAGTGTGGGCCCTGGGCCAGCAGCTCAGCATCGGCTGGGAACGGGTAAGAAATGCCAGTTCTTGGGTCCTCCTCCAGAGCTGCTGAACAGTAAGTGACCTGCGTGGGGGGGGCCCGGAGGTCTGTGCTGGGAGCCTCCCCCTACCCCCCGGGGATGCTCATGCACGAGGAGTTTGAGAAACACCACGGCAAGATCACTCTCGGGGCTCAGGCCGGTCACGTTCCCGGAGTGAAACCTCGCTCAGGGGGACACCGTACCTCGCTCTCCGCTTCTTCACCCGCCGCTCGTGCTCCGCCTCCTCGTAGTACAGCTCGTTGTGGCTGGAGTCCCTGCGGCGGGCGGCGGCGGCAATCATGGCCCGGGACTGGCCGGCGGCGTTGTTACTGGGGCCTTTGGGGGAAAGATGGAGGAGGAAAAGCAATTTTAATGCCACGGACTGATGCCCGAAGCCAGTTTGGCTCAGTGGATAGAGCGTCAGCCTGCGGACTGAGAGGTCCCGGGTTCAATTCCGGCCAGGGGCATGTACCTCGTTTGCGGACACATCCCGATTGGGGGGTGTGCAGGAGGCAGCTGATCGATGATTCTCTCTCATCGATGTTTCTAGCTCTCTATCCCTCTCCCTTCCTCTCTGTAAAAAAAATCAATAAAATATATTTTTAAAAAATAACAATAATGCCACGGACTGAGAAAACGAGCAGAGCACTGGTACCACCGTCTGTCGGGACCGCCCACCCATCCCCTGTGAAGCCAGACTCAGATCCCCAATGTGACTCCCCAGGTGGGGAACAGTCCCCCCTTCTCTTCACCATGCTCACGAGGGAAGGAAACCTCCCCGAGGCCCGATCTGCTCGGGGCAGAGGGAAAAGGAACTCGGAAGGAGATGGAGAATGCGCGGCGATTAAGGCGATGGCCAACAATAACACCGGGGGTGAGGATGTTACTTACCATCTGGTACAGCACGGCCCGCTGGCTGCGAGGGCGGCCGTGATGTCACAGTTCAGCAACAGGACAACGAGGGAGGAGGAGAGGGACAGGAGACAGGACAGAGAGAAAGTGAAGTCCAGGGACAAGTGCCACCGGCCACACACAGGAACACGCCCCGCTGGACTCTCAGGGCAGCACAGCTTTCACGGAGCAGCCGTGATGCTTGAGGACGTGGGAAACGGCCCTTGTGCTCCTCCGGACTCAGAAGTCCTGGCCTAGCTCCTCTGATCACCTGATCGACTTGTCAGGAAGACAAGGCAGATCTCACGCTTTCTTTCTTTCCTTTTTTTTTTTTTTTTTTTAAAGTTGCTAAGATGAATACTTTTTAAAAAAATTTTTTTTATTGATTTCAGAGAGGAAGGGAGAGATGGAGAAATAAAAATATCAATGATGAGAGATAAAAATATCAATTGATTGGCTGCCTCCTGCACGCCTCCTACTGGGGAAGATCAAGCCCGAAACCCGGGGCATGTGCCCCTGGCTGGAATAGAACCCGGGACCCTTTAGTCTGCAGACGGACGCTCTGTCCACTGAGCCAAACCGGCGAGGGCTTTCTCATGTTTCACCTACGTGGCCAATGATTTGGTTTTGCTAGTGGGAATTTTCGCTGTTGTCAGGTCACAGGCGAAAGGGACCAATCCTTCGCGATTTGTGAGCGCGTGAGAGCGTGCACATCTCATTAGCCAAGCATAATAACGAAGCACAGCTTAAGGAGGTGGAGGATGTTACATCACCACCGAAGCTGACACCATCTATAAATCACTTGACTTGCTAACAACATGATCCTCTTGGAGGGTTTGCAAAGCTCTCGCCCTGACCCGGGCGGCCCAGCAAGACGTGACACCGGGTCCTGTTTCTTGCACTGAAGCATCTGATAGCCCGAAGGAGTTCTGGCGGCCCGGCCCGGCCTCTGGCCTCCCGCCACGGCTCAGCTCCAGCTTCTGGCCGGGGCCGAGGAACGCCCCACCGTGTCTCCCCAGACGCCTGAGCTACTGACAGTTATACATCTTCACGGATTGGGGGGGCTGAGTCTTTGCTTTGGGTACTTTATCCACATTTGGAAAAGCAGGCCTTTCCTAATAGCTTTATTTAATGGAAGATGTTCCCAGCAGGAGACAGGAAACACACACATCCCCATTGTTTTCAATCATAAAAATCCCCAAATGAATGAACTTCCCACAGATGTAGACCATAAAGCAACAGTCCTCTGAAAAGATGTTTGGGAGAGAAGAGAGACAGAGAGACAGAGAGACAGAGAGAGAGAGAGAGAGAGAGAGAGAGAAAGAATGAGAGAGAGAGAGAGAGAGAGAGTTGTTCTGACATGAGAATGGACCACAGAGCACACAGAGAGGAGGTAGAACCAGATGGGCCATGAAGTTGCCCCAATGGACCCCCGACACCCAGATAGCCACTGTCCCAGCCACATACCATCCACGTTGTAGACTTTCAGCCCCGCCATGTGCTTGGCTGCTCGGAATTTGGAGGCTGTTAGGAGGTTGGGGTTATAGATGGTGAAATCTTTATAGTAATTTTCCAGGACCACCAGTGCTGCTCGCTGGATGCTGCAAAAAAAAAAGGGGGGCGGGCAAGATGAATGCAAAGCACCTTCGTGGAATGAGCAGGTCCTCTCCTGAAGCAGGCAAACCCCCTCGCCCAGGGGCAACCGCACAGAAGCTCCAAAAGCTCCGGTTCCACACCTCTGTCTCCGAGGCTCAAGAGGAAGCCAAGTCCTGTGGTCGTGCGCCCGCCCGGGCTGTGACATTAGCCGGAACCAGCTGGCCGGCAGCCGAGAAAGGAGTGAGTTGTAACTGGGATTTGTTTCGGCCGCACGGAACTTCCCTATTTTCCCCAGTTTTCGAAAGAGGAAACAGAGGACCTCAACACGGTCTAGCCCAGGGGTCGGCAAACTCATCAGTCCACAGAGCCAAATATCAACAGGACAACGATTGATATTCCTTTTGAGAGCCACATTTTTTAAACTTAAACTTCTTCTAACGCCACTTCTTCAAAACAGACTCGCCCAGGCCGTGGTATTTTGTGGAAGAGCCACACTCAAGGGGCCAAAGAGCCGCATGTGGCTCACAAGGCGCAGTTTGCAGACCACAGATCTAGACACTTACCGCTGGCCGCAGAGCTAAGGGGAGGAAGGGCACGGTATGCCTTCAGGTTCCCCGGTCCGAGGGCAGTGTCCCCGGGCCTCATGGCCCTGTGTGAGAACCGCTGGGCTCTCCTGTTCCACAGACCAGAGCGATACCCACGCAGGAGAAGCTGCTGTAGACTTGAGTTAACGCAGATTCCTCCACTTCCTTCCACCCACCCATCTACCCCAGGCCGGCTACATCGCCCCTGTGTCCCTCGACCAGTCACCGATCACCTGGTTGGCCCAGGGAGGACAGAGCAGGAGCAAAGAGGAACTGCCAACAGATAACTACATGCCAGGACCCCAGGGGAAAGCTGACTCAGCTTTCTGTGAAAACTCCCACCCGAGGGAGCCGGACAGGGCCCTGGGTTTTATCTGATTGGCTTCCCCCCAGAAGAGTCACCAAGACTCCACCTGGGTGTGAGGCCCACCTCCGCCCTGAACGTGGAGACAGCACTTGCCTGACGCAGCGCCAGGACGATGTGCAAGGCTCCTGTGAACCCAGAGACGCGAGCATCATCAGCCCCTGAACGCCGCGCCCCCGCTGGGAACCAGGCACCTGAGCACCGGTATCGCCTGGCCCTCCTGCCTTTTAATTAAGACATTTGCCTCCAGCTGCAGGCGGGGAGGTGGGAACACAGCCCCACACAGATAACCGGTAATGACCACCTTGGAACCGGAGCGCAGGGAGGAGGAAAACTGGGATCGGCCTGTGTTTATCGGCAGATCTGATTAGACTGCAGGACGAGCCGGAAGGAGGGCTGGGTTTTTTCTGGGACTTTGTCTTGAGAAAGCAGGAGGTGCACACATGTCTGCTTGAGACCTTGAGGCGTGAGGCCGATCATCCTGAGGGGCCCAGACCAGTGGTCCTGTCCTGCTGTCCGGGCCCTCGGTGCCTCCTGCTGGCCGCATGGGTTCCTGGCAACCCCGGCCTGCGGGCTCCTCAGCTCCGTGGACACTCCAGGGACCAAGTTCTTTGCATCAACACTCACGAGCTGGACAGTGTCCCCGGCCTGGGCTTTGAATGTGGGCTCTGTGGACAAGCCCTGCAGGTGTCCCCACTGAAGCCAGGAGCATCTGCACTGACAGAGGAGAGGCGGGAGCAACAGGGCCGGCTCATCAGCGTGGCCCACACAGTGCTGTCTGGGAAGCATCCGGGCACTCTCGGTGCCCAGTGCTGCCCCCTGTCTAAGTGTCTCCTGATAAAGTGTAACCCCGGAAAATGCCCTCTAAGCCAGTGTTTCCCAAACTTTTGACATATGTGTACCCCTTCTATAATTTTCATAACGCTGAGTACCCCTCGTACTCATGAGAACGTAGAATTAGGCGCAGCTAAGCAGGTGCAGTGCATATCCCCACCAAACTCCGGTGCAACGCGTATCCCCAGCAAACTCTTCCCGTACCCCTGGGCACTTTGGGAAACACTGCAAGCAAACAAGCAAACCCACACCGGGTGCGTCCACGGCCACATGCAACCACCTGGCTCTGCTGGTCTCGGGGCCGGAACATCCTCTTGCCGTGGGCGGTTCTGAGTGTGGTGGCAGCACTGATGGCACAGCCTCCTTCCGAGTCGGTCCGTCACGGCTGGCCGGCTGCTGGGCCGCCTTTCCCACGGCAGATGGATGCAGGCAGACCTCTCAGAACTGGAGGACACACCGAGCAGGTCTGGCAATTGCAGCCCCACTTCCAGGCCGGGGCACAGACCGCACCGCACGGCCACCTCCCTGCACAGCCTGACCCGGCCTGCACCTGCCCTGGGATGGAAGTCCAGCCTCCCCGACGCTTTGCATTCCTGTGCCGAGCCAGCCAGATAAACATCAAAGGCCAGCACCTGCTCAGGGCTCTCCGGGGAGGAGACTGAGATGGGAACTAAGCCTCGCCAGCCCCTCCCAGGATGCTCCAGGGGCCTGCTTGCACCCGAACCTCCGAGAGGGGCGCACAGCGAGGAGGCTGGAGGGAGGGAGAGCAGGCCCCTGCCCCTGTGCCCTCTGGAGTGTCAGCATCTCACACACACACACACACACACACACACACACACACACACACGATGTCACACCCATCATGCCGGGGGCGAGTGTGCGGAACACCAGGCCCTGCCCGCAGCGTGCGTCCTCCAGAAAATAAACAGCCCGCCACTTGGGGCGTGGGATCCACTGCCCCACCTGCCTGTGGCCCTGCAGGAAGGCCTCCCACATCAGCTGGCCCTTCCTCCCCCTCCATGGCCTTGCTCTGCGGGGTGACTCCCCTGGGCCGCCTGGGGAAGCCCGGGGGCAGACGCGGTGCGAGGGAAGCTGCCCAAGCTGCGGCCGCTGCCAGCAGGCAGCTGTGCAAAAGGGCTGCGGTGCCCAGCGCCTTCCATTAGCCAGGGCACATGCGGCGGCTCTGCCGGCCCGCCTTCCCAATCCTCCCATGGCAACGCGATCCGGGCAAAGGCCTGCAGGCTCCCCTCCATGCGCTGAGTCATGTTGCTCTTCAGCGTTTTTAGGGACTGGGGTGTGGACTGGCAAGCATCTCCACTACAAAGCAGTGAAACAGAACGCACATTTCTGAAAAGGAGACTGTCTATGAATCCATGACTGTACATAACGTGGCCATGTAAAATCGCCCCCCAACTTCACCTCCCATGGTGCTGGGTCCTCCCAGACCCGTGGTCGGCAAACTTGGGCTCTCGAGCCACATGCAGCTCTTGGGCCCCTTGAGTTTTTAGCAAAGGCCAGCTTAGGAGTACCCTAATTAAGTTAATAACAATGTACCTACCTATGTAGTTTAAGTTTAAGAAATTTGGCCCTCCAAAGAAATTTCAATCATTGCACGGTTGATATTTGGCTCTGTTGACTAATGAGTTTGCCGACCACCGGCCTAGACCATGGATACTGGTTTTGAACATGCGTGGCAGGGGAGGGGGCACAGCCCAGTGATCCACGTCCTGGATGTCATTTGACCCAGAATCACAGTTCATAGGAGCCGAAATTCCTCTCCAACTGTGAACAGGGGAAGCCGGGCAAGTTGTATGTTTCCAGAACACCCAGGTGGATCAGGCACAGGACGGACACTCCCATCCCAAGGGGAGGAAGTGGACAGGGGAAAGGGGCGGTGGGTCCTGAGCAAGTTCAAAGCCTAGCAGCTATTAGATATTAACTCTTACATAGATATTATATCGATATTAAGTCTTGAGAGTAATCCTCTTTGGTTCAATGCTCTGCCCTCAGGCCCACGGGCGCAGGGGGTTGGGGGGTTCCATTTTCCCCTGCTAATTCCCGTTCGCAGCCTCCTTCATTCTGCCCCTTCCTGCATCCTTGGTCCCCGCTGACTGAGCTTCTACTGGGATAAGCTCATCTTTATTCCTGGCTTCTGCTGATGGGTGATTCAATCCGTGGTTCACACCCATATAACCTCCTTATCAACGTTGGCTAGCCATCTCAGTGCTCCCTTCAGGACACCCATCATCATCATCACCATCATCATCCATCATCATCATCATTATTTTCAATCTGGATAGGCTGAGACAAATACCACATGATTTCGCTTGTATGTGGAATCTAAAGAAAAGTATAAACGCACCAACAGAACAGAAACACCCTCACAGATACAGACAACAGACTGACGGTTGCCAGAGGGGAGAGGGGAGGGGGACTGGGTGAAAAAGGCGAGGGGATGGAGAAGTACAGATTGGTAGTCACAGAATAGTCACGGGATGTAATGTACAGCACAGGGAAGATCCTACTGATATTATAATAATGAGAGGAATATGCTAATTATCCAGCGTAACGACCAACCACATAACAACCAGATCGCGGATCTGCAGGAGGGTGGGGCAGTGAACTTCAAGCGGGTGGTAGAGACCTACAGGAGGGGGCAGGGCAGCAAGGTATGAGAGGGAGAGGGGGAGGGAAGTAGAGGGAGCTACAAGAGGGTGGGCAGTGGGCAGAGAGCTAAAGGAGGGTGGTGGCAACCTACTGGTGCATGGATTCATGCACAGGGCTACTACCGTGTTTTCCCCAAAATAAGACATCCCCTGAAAATAAGACCTAGCACAACTTTGGGAGAAAAAAATTAATATAAGATACTTTCTTATTTTCGGGGAAACAGCGTAGTATTATAATAATTATGGACGATGCCGGGTGGATATGGGATTATCGGGGGCACTCTTTGTAAAGTTCTATAGGATTATCCAAGCGCTGTGCTATCCACCATGCTTCACACTCATCTCTGCGGTGTAAACTGAGGCTTTTACAATCTCTTTGCATTTTTACCAGAAGGAATAGGAAGAAGCCGAGCTGCATCGCCCATCTTTTGCTTGGAAACCACCTCAGCTAAGTACCCCATCTCATCCCTCAGCTCCACCTGCCACAGAGCACGGGGGCAGGAACACAGAGCAGCCACGTTCTCTGCCACTTCCCAACAAGGACGGCCCGTCCGTGA